CACTGAGACACCCTGAAAAAAAAAAGCAACAAAAGAGGCTGTAAAAATATCAAAACTCTACTCATAAAATGAGATACTATTTTAGTGCTATCAGTGCAGTCATAATCATCATGTGACTCAAGAGTATTGGAATAAATCTACCAAAAAGAAACATGGCACAAAAATATGTTCTGGATGCAAGAGATGCTGGGAGAACACCAACAACCACAACAAACAGGATGTGCACTCTGGCTTTCTCTAACAGCACATCAGCTCCTCTGAGCAACAGTGGTTTGTACTGGCTAGAAAATACAACACTAAATTGCTTTGATTCAAGGGACCAAGAAAACACAGACATTCTCATGTCTGTTAAGACAATCTACCACTATTTTAGTGAAGCCCATGCTTAGGTAAAAGCATACTTAGGTAAAAATTATTTTGTTAGACTAGGTGACCTTATAGAAGACTTTTGACAAGATGTTTTATATGAACCTGTCATGTGTCTTATGTGTGTCTACCCCCAGTGCTTTACCATAAATATACTCAAAAAAAAAAAGAAAGAAAAGAAAACACACTCTGATATCGATGCAATTTCAAGACCCATAATGTCCATCCAATTAAACATTCTTTTCAGTTGGATGGTGTATGAAAAGAAGTCTACAAAAATTATGTTCCTAACAGTGCAGCTTCAAAAGCAGACAAGTTATTGGTTCACTTCTGAGGAAAAAAAACAAAGATGCAATTACATCCTTGCTCCTAGACTTGTGTCTGGCTTCTCACATTGTAACAGCTCTGCCAAACTTCCTAAAAGCTGTGAAGGAAAGGGACAGTGGTAAAATGGGACACTGCAAATTTCCTCATCACTATTAAGACACCTCGTAGAACATCCTGTTTCTGTTGGAATCCAATTGTGACTACAGACTTCAAACTTCCAGAAAGAGTATTTGTAGGATCACAGATCAGCCTGTAGCTTTAATGAGGCCTTGGACAAAATGCCTGAAGGTTGAGAGCTGTCACAATAGTTTTGGTAACACAGTCCTGTCAATCCACCCTGCCAGGACTGCACAGGTGGGTATGCTAAGGATGTAAAACGTACTGGGATAGTGCCATGAAAGAGAGACAAACAGGCAGCATCTCATCCACACTGCCCAGAAACAATCCCAAAACTATGCCAAAACTACATTTCTGTTTTATCTCAGAGAAAATTAGTCCATTCACTCCAAAAACCAACCCAGGAGGGAAGTAACACAGCTATAGTATGGATAACCAGGAATACTGGTTTGCTAAGTTAATTGACAGAAGAGTAATTTTTGATGGCAGTTGCTCAGAGGGGTCTCTACTTCAAGACATTGTCTTTCTCGTTAGAATGAAAACCAGATGGGTAATTTATTATTTATGTTCCAAACACTACCTACAGCACACATTTGCTAATAAACCAGAATGCAATTCTCTATCGTGAATTCCCTACCAGAAAATCTTATTCATGTCTGTTGAAGAAACTGAGATATAGTCAATATTTCAGGTACTTTATGATCCTTCTTTAAGCTTGTTAACATTCAATATATCCTAATTAGTTTCCCCTTCGAATTACATTCCTGCTTTCCAAATTAAAGGCTAACATGTTTCTTTGACTGACAGGTAAATTATTTTATTTCTTTGCCTTTTTGGACAAACTGTAAAAGCATTTTTCCTGGGGCGAAATAGGAATGCTTTTTTATTTTTTTCCACTTGTTCCAAGGAGGTAAAAAATTTTATTTATCTTCAGCATAACTTTTTGTTACTAAAAGGAAGGAAATGCCCCCTGAAGCCCAGCACTTTATGCTTTTTAGTTTAATGATACAAACAGCTTCTGAAGTAGAGACGCATAAACTCATTAGCAGCATTTCGGTTCTCTCTGCTGCAGAAGCCTGGAGGAAAGAAACCTTAATACAGAATATCTGATCCTAGCACTGAAGTTTACATCTTAAACCAAATTATAACATCCAATTTTATGCAATCTTTATATCTCAAATTAGGATTTCTCTCTGTTAATTCGGAAAGAGGCTCGGTCTTAATTGGCTTTATGCTCTTCCACTTTTGTCTTGACTTATTTTTGCTTTAAAACATGAGAGGTTGGAAAGAGGTTTTCAACATGGGTCTGGAGAACATAAACAAGCTTTTATGAATATCATCAATATATTTTATAGGAAAGTTATCTATGAGCAATATAATAAAGGAGTATCCTAATGTAGACAAGACTAGTATATTTATACAAAAAGTAATTTAAAATAACATATTCAAACAATAAACCTAATTAAATTCCCCTAATAGTCATAAGCAATCCATCATGGAGTGGAAAAAATAACTAGCCTATGGATATGTTACAAAATTATTTGACTGAAGAATTTTAGGGTTCATATTTACTTTTAGATACTCAGGTTCCATGGAGTAGCAAACAGAGAACTACAATGCTATAGGCAGGAGACTACCAGTATCAAATGTGTCCCTACTCAAAAATGTACTACAATAACACTTTGTTATTTGTGAAAAATGCATTATTTATACACTACACATATTGTAGAAGAAGAAACCAAATGAGAAGAAAGGGAGTGCACAGTTAAACTAAAATAGATGAATATATGGAAAGCCACTGCAGTGAAGTTCTGCTAAGAAACCCCCTCGAAGTTGCTACAACACAAAAGTCATAAAAATTCATGTGAATAAACTTATCTATCGAGAAAAACCCACATAAAGCCAAAAATATACATCATCCATACATCAGATGTGGATCTGCCTGAAAGATCACAGTAGAGTATCTGAAAAAGAAATCCTGCTCTGTACCTAATGTCTAGTCATTTCCCCTTAAACCTATAAGTAAATCCTTCCTGGACTCCATTGAATGCCTTAAAGGAAAGAGGACAGATAGATTCACTACCTTTACAAAAGAAAAGAAAGATAAAGAAATCTCTGTTTGGAACCTCATCTCTCACAGCCACCGCAGCAAATGGGATGTTTTTTCTGTTTGAATTCTCAGTGTATCTGATTCACACTTATCTTTTGCTTTAATCACTTCTTAAAGCATTTTAAAACAGTTAAAAATAAACTACCTCAGCAAATATTCAGCCAAAACTTGACACAATATCATAGTAACTGCAAAAATATCTTCAATATTTATGATTTCTGGCAAGAACCTTCCCAATCCTTTAACACTTAGCAAAGTGACTGGGCACTGCAGTATATCTTCTATATCAATAAATGATTCAGAAACAGATGGTATAAGTTCCATAAACATTTCAAACAAAAAAAAGCTATGCCAATGTTTTTCCTTAAAAGGAAAAGCCAGCCTTAGGCAACCCTGAATGTTAACTTTAGCAGCATTATTTCGGAGAAAAACAACTTTTAAGAAAAATAGCTTTCGTGTCATTTTTACCATGATGGGCCAAAGGTCACTCTATATTGTATGTGGTTGTTCAAGACAGCTGCCTGTTCAGCTCTGACTCAGAAATGCCTGTGCATCACATCACAGAATTCAGCAAACTGGGACCTTCATGATCATCTTTTCCGTTCTCTCCCACCACTCTCTCCCATCTGGGTGCATGAGATTCAAGAGCAGCAGTAACACTTCTCCACTCTGTTGTTAATTCAGAATCCTAAACACTGTTTTTCACTCAGCAAAAAGCACAAGCACTTCCTAAAAATTGTTTGATGACAAATTGTACGGAAATAGGCACCATGAGGGTAGGAAGATATAAATGAAACCTGAACTGTGAAGGCAGGTGAAAGAAGAGCTAAGGAAGTCACCAGTATGGTGAGGGTGAGAACCTGCCAGGATAGGTTTCTGCCACAACTCCAAAGTCACTATTCCAGGTAGAGTTTGCCAGGAGCCTCATGAACCCACCCACGCCAAGTGTTCACAACAAAAGTAACGTGTCCAATTGCTCCCACACAGAGCTGGGGAAGACCTTTCTCTCAAGACTGCAGAAAGCTCCTAAGGCCATTTGTACCCAAGAAGCTTAAGGCTGGGACATGCACAGACAGATACGCAGTACCCAAACCTGCATGGATAAGAACTGACAATACTTTGGATTCCCCCTGGCCTTCATGAGCCAAATCCCATCTCTGCATCTGTTGCCCTTCCCCCAAAGGGCCAGAGGCCAGGTCTTTGCTAAGAAAGGCCATGATTAAACCAAACAGAAAATATCCCCAGACAGGCAGTCACTACTTTTCTTCTTATTCCTGTACCTAAGCCTTGGCTTGAGCCCTTGAAGCTCAGCAGCCCTGTCTCCTCCCACAGCAGGTCCTGTGCTCTGATCCATGCAGCCATACCCTGTGACAGAGCAGGCATGCCAAGGCCCTTAGCAGTCTGTACAGCCAAAGGTCAGCATGCTTCCCAAACTCCCAGAGAAATGGGATCATAGAATACATTCAAATATGCCCTTTGGTGAAAAAAAAAAAAGAAAAAAAAAGAAAATCCAAGCCTGTAGCACTCCAGAAAGCCAAATAAAACACGTTTCAGGCACAAGCATATACACGGAGATCATTATAACCAGAGCCAAGAGAGGAAGCACAAAGAGCCCACGTGTCACAGCCATACATACAAGCAAGACCTCCAGAGCACCAGCAGTGCCAGCTTAGCCCTGTACTGTTATGAGGCCTGAACCTAAATCCCAGAAGAAAAGAACTTCCTTCTTTTCTGTAATACCCACCTTCCAGGCCTCACTGATCCTTTACAAGTGGCTCATGAACACCAGGAATCCATTACAAAGAAGTATTCAATGGAAGTCCAGAGGGTACATGCACAGCCCACAATTGTACCTCTCTACTTCAGGTAATCTTTATTCTGATGCACAGATAACAGAAAGTATTCCTAAGAACAAATGTTCTAGAGTAAAACACCCATTTAACATGCTTTTTCTGTCCACCATTTAGACACAATACAGCAACTGCTAGACTTGCATGAAAACAAACATTTCTTGTGTTAAAAATATTACATTAATTTTTCATTTCAATTAAAATGTAAATCTTCCAGTAGTGTCACTTACAGGATGTTTGGCTGAAAGTCTGCCAGTCACAGTTCCTGTCTGATTCCACGTAGAGGAAATAAATCCCTGTAATCAAGTAAAGTAAAAAATTAATAAAAAAGGAAAATTATGAAGACACAGAGCTAAATTTTATTTAACATAAGTACCAGTAATAAAAATGCACTGCAATCAGAGCTATAAACCCAAAAGTTCTTTTGAACTTCATAATTTTCCATATATAAAAGTTCTTAAACTGTAAACACTTCAATCCTTTTACGATTTTACAAGCTACTTTATATATTTCTACCTTTCTCATGCATGTTCGTAATCCATCCACATAAGTTGATTTCATCTTATGAACCTAAAATACATAAATTTCAAAATAAATGCTTACTTATAATAATAAGAGAATTTTTAAATGAAAGATCTTACTTTCCAAATGAATATAAACTGGTTTTGTAGACTTTTTTTTTTTAAAGTCAGTTTTATCTTAGTAAATAATGGCTTTATACTCTCTAAATATAAGTGCTCAGTTCTAACCTGAAGTCAGGACTTTGCAGATACTAGCAAATGAACTATTGGAATTGATTATTTTGCATCTTACATCCCCAGGTCGACAAACTACACAAAAAAGCCACATACAAAACCCCCAAACAAAACCAAAAATCAAAACCATACATAAACCCACACTTGTTTGTTTGTTTGTTTGTTTTAATTCCTGGAATTAAAGAAAAGCCAACTGAAAACCCACTCAAAACCCAAATGTTAAGTGTGAGAACAGACTAACTAGGTTTTGGATTTTCAGGAGGCTTGTCACCCAAAAATCCCCCATAACTAGTTATCTCCTTCACTTTACGCAAAGTATTTCTTCAGAACTCAAAAAATAAATGCTTTGCCCTAAGATTGTGCTTTATAGCACTGGACAAATTTCACATTGCAGTTTTCCAATTATTTTATGAATATGTTCTCTTTCTTGCTAATTGTGCTTCAATGCAACTACATTATGTGAAAAGATCAGCTCACCTGACGGTACTCTAAAATTATCTTAGGCAAAGGATGAAGATCTTGCAATTTATTTAGCTGCAAAATCAAGAACATAAATTACTGGTATAGTTCTCTGTTAAGTTACATTATTAAACAAACCTTAACAGAATGCATTTTGGAGCAAGAAATTTTCTTGACAAGCTGAAAGGACAAAATATTGGCTAAAGAATTATGTCCTTCAAGCAAGGCCCAAGGAAGCCTTCATTCCTTCCTGCCTTCATTAGGAAGGCTGGAGATGACTCCTTCCCATTTCATTTTCCTTTTTGTATCAGATAGAGACAAAAAGCCATGCAGACATAAAAACTTCTCTACAACAACTTTGAAAACACTGGGGTATGATGTGTGTGCGTTACTTACGGTTCTTTGTTTATTTTTTGTGCTATGCAGCATCAAAGCAAGAGAGAACATGATAAAAGTATAAAAAATAATACATATACGCACACACACACATTTATACACACACAGTACAGCAGGAGAATTTCTCCTGTTCATCCCCTAATAAAAGTTCCAGGAAAACTTCATGAGAAATTGAAATTGTCAAATCCCAAAGCAATAAAATAAAGTATATTTCTGATCACTTTTACTGGAAACTGCAAAAAAATCTGTTAAGAAAAAGAATGAAATTATTAAAATAGAGATTGGATATTTATAAGTACAACAAAAAAATATCTGGAACTACAATAGTCCAGTCTGAGAAACAGATGCAACTGTACTAGAATGTACATTTAAAAGCATTAGGTTTTTTTCTTGCTACCAGGGAGAGCCAAGATATTAAGAGTAACTCTGGTATTTATCTACTGGAAGGTTTCAGCCCACCTTTCTCTAACCAAGTCTTGGCAGTTATTGGAAAGAGAATACTGGACTAGCACTCGTATTGCTTTGATTACAACAATAAATCTTATGTTCCAACAAAAAGATGACATGCATTCTATTTCACTGGTCCCTCCCATCTCCCAAGGCTCTCTGTCACTCTATAAAATTACATATTAGATCTATGAAACCTCCTTCTTGTTGAGTAGTGTGGGGGTTTCATGGTTATACTGTTGACATTACCTGAGATCATATATGGTAGTTCAGACACTTGGTTGAAAAGTGGTTCTAAAGGAATTTCTTCCTTTAGAAACAAATGTTACCTTTTTATCTTCCCCAGAAATGTTCTCCAGAACTTTGACTCCCATGTAAACTACAGCAATACAATTGTGGCAGCAAATCAGAAACAGGTGCAGCTGGACAGAGGCTTTTTCTGTTCCAAGAAGGAATTCCACTGCTATTATTATCTTAATAAAATGATCTTTTAATGATATGTACAAGGGGACTGAGTGGACCCTCAGTCAGTGTGCAGATGACACCAAACTGGATGGGAGAGCTGATCTGCTGGAGGGCAGAAAGGCTCTGCAGAGGGATCTGGACAGGCTGGATCAAGGGGCCAAGGCCAGTGGTCTGAGGTTCAGCAAGGCCAAGTGCCTGGTCGTGCCCTTGGGTCACAACAACTCCCTGCAGTGCTACAGGCTGGGGGCAGAGTGGCTGGAAAACTGCCCAGTGGAAGGGACCTGGAGGTGCTGTTTGACAGTGGCTGAACATGAGCCAGTGTGTGTGCCCAGGTGGCCAAGAAGGCCAATGGTATCCTGGCCTTTGTCAGCAATAGTGTGGCCAGCAGGACCAGGGCAGTGATTGTCCCCCTGTGCTGGGCACTGGTGAGGTCACACCTCAAATCTTGTGTTTAGTTTTGGTCCCCTCATGACAAGAAAGACATTGAAGCGCTGGAGTGAGTCCAGAGAAGGGCAACAAAGCTGAGGAAGGGTCTGGAGCACAAGTCTCATGAGGAGCAGCTGAGGGAGCTGGTAGTGTTTTGCCTAGAGAAAAGGAGGCTCAGGGGAGACCTTATTGGTCTCCACAACTACCTGACAGGAGGTTGTAGCCAGCTGGGGGGTCAGCCTCTTCTCCCAAGCAACAAGTGACAGGACAAGAGGAAATGGCCTCAAGTTGCACCAGGGGAGGGTTAGATTTGATGTTAGAAAAAATTTCTTCACCAAAAGGGTTGTCAAACACTGAAACAGGCTGCCCAGGGAAGCAGTAGAGTCACCATCCCTGGAGGGATTTAAAAGACATACAGGTGTGGCACTTAGGGACATGGTTTAGCAGTGAGTGGACTTGGCAGTATTTGGTTAACAGTTGGACTCGATGATCTGAAAGGCTGTTTCCAACTAATAATTCTATGAAAAGAAAGTGGCATCCACATTTGCCTAAAGTTACCAAGAAGTCTGCAATTTGGTCTTGATTTCATTTTTAAACAAATGTTTTTGACATATTTCTGCACTTGTGTGGGATCATCCATGAACATCTGCATTGCTGAAAATTATCTGCTCCAACACTAACAAAAGAAAGAACTGAAGGAGCTTCATATGCACAATATTTTTTACACTGAATCTAAAGATACATTTGCTCTCTTGTACGGGTGTATCAAGTATCTAAACTGTTTGCTCATTGCTTCTCTTAGGGAACAAGATTATATCAAGATCCTGCAGATTAACTCCAAATGCAACCATTTTTACTGAAGGCAAGCCTCTCCACAGAGGCAACAAAAAAATATTAGACTGAGGAAAACTGATGCACACAAGTAAAACACTGAATTCATACAAAGAAAGTGGTAATTTTCAATTCAAACCACAGGTATCAAGTAATTTCCTACAGAAATTAATGAATGAGTTAAGGGTCCATAAAAAGATGACAATATGGTTTTAGCCCAAATCTCCTGATGGCAAAGAGGAAGTCTGGGGTGCTATTTCCTTTGACAGCAGATTTTACATTAATGCTCTTTTCTTTGATCCGTGGTCTGTGTCACTCAGCCAGTCAGTCATTCTGAGCTACCAAAATCTGACCAGTAAGAAAGTCTCTCTCCTTTGAAGAAGATGGTCATACAGGCATTTTGGTATTAAAGTTTTTAACCCTGGTTAATTGCTGAAGTTTAGCTTCAGTAGCTAGTGTCTTTTTCCCCATCATAGAGTGCATCATTCTTTTCTGCCATAATTATGCAAAGTATAATTAGAACAATACAAAAATAAATCAAGATCGTTAGGAAAACTTTAGGCAAATCACAATTTCACTGGAATATAACTTTGAAGTTTTGCTAAATCATGCAGCTGGTTTTAAAACCCCTCCCCATCTCACCACAGCTTCTGAGGTGGACACAAGTTGCTGTATTTCAGTTCTGTGAAGTTTCTCACACAGGGTATGCAGCTTGAACTTATCAAATAGTACCTACAGTTAGAAAAACACATAACAAATGTTTCAGTGTTTCAAGTGCTGAAATAGAAAGGATAATTATTTGGTGCTTGAACTTTAGTCTAGAATATATGTTTCATAGTAAACAGAGCATACTATAGCAAAGAGAACTAACACAGAATTGAAAAGACCAGATCTTTATTTCTGAGCTATTGAAACAGTAATGTAATGTATTTACTAAAAACAAATGCCTAATTTAAACACAGATCATCCAGCATTGTCAGATTTATGAAAAGCTATGTGTTCCTCACTAAGATCAGAAAATAAGACAATTAATATAGAAGAAAAGAATTCGGAAGTTGTAAGGACATATATGCTTTACAGTTCTTCTGTATCAATAACAATTTACAGAATGTGCATCTTACATAAATACAGTAGTGCAAATATTACCTCTCGGAGTTGGTAACTGCTGGTCAACAGGAACTGTTCTCCAGCAACTTGATGAGCTTCCTGTTCAAGCTCTTTGAGCCGCAACTATAAATTAGTACCTCAGAATTATTCTGTTTACATTATTATTTTCTTCAATATCTGCTAATTCCTAGGTTAATGAGTATATTAGACTTTTATTTAAAAATGGAGAATTTGATATTATGCAATCATTGCTGACTGGCTATCAACATTTACTTTAGTAGACTGCTTATATACTCTTTAATCTATATTTCTTCATGACCTGGGAATGGGATTTACTGTAGTAAAAGCCACTAACATTTGTGGGGAAAGAATTTAGATTACTGAAGACTATAGAGATCTGTGGGAAAAAGAGCTATGGAAATTATTCTGATAAATTAGTAATCTATGATAATCTAGTAAAATTTTATGCTACAAAATGGGATTCTCTTGTGGTTGTTTTTATCAAAGAACATGTAAGTTGTAAAGAGTGTATTGTTTACAAAGAGAGGCACTGAGAGCCACTTCTCAGGAAGGTGGTTACTGAAAACTAGGTTCAGAAAGATTCATTACCATTTTTAATCTACAACATATAACCCAAAAGGACCTGTACAATTTGCAAAGCAATTTCAGTTCTGGGGCAAGGCTAATGAAGCAAATATCTCTTTTTTACTCTCCTAAATAAAAAAGGGAAATATCCTAAAATGTAAATGTCTCTTAGTTGTATTTATAATAATAAAAATACTAAACCCCCAAACTGTTACATTAAAAGTGACAAAGGTTCCTTCTCTTTTTAATCAGCTATCCTCAGTAAAAGCACAAAGATGATGCTATACAATTTCAAAAAGGAAAAATAAATACAAAATTTACCCCCAGAATCTCAGATGTTTTTTTCAGTTCTTGTTTGTTCACATATATTTTGTGTGTTTCCATCACTGTAAATACAATTATAGATTGAGAACATTTACAATTGACAATTTCAGTCTTACATACTTCTTAGAAATGGAATCTCAAACTCACACAGCTGTCATGAGACTAAGAAAACATTTCATATTCTGATGTATTACATTCCATTTGAGCATAGTCAGCAGCTGTGTGAAAATAGTGAAGATTCTTATTTTGAACTGAACTTTCATACCTGCCAGAATTTTGATAAGTGGAAGCTCCAATGTGCAAAATAAGTTCCACAAACCTTGAGCCTGTAAAGCAAGGTATAAATACATTTGTCAGTGCCAGCTAATTTTGATCTTAAAACAGTGTCATTAGGTGCATCTATTTTCCAGTGAGCAGTATTTCACCTTCTGTATATTTGCTTTTTATATGACAACACTGCGGCATGAAAATACTGCTTATTGTAAATTATAGTATCTAAATGTTGTATCACTTCTTTCTGTGGAGAATAGTAATACATTTTGAAATAGTAACCATTTTGTACAGGAATACTAATAAAGATATTTTAAAAAATAATTTTTCCAAACTGTTTATTTTAGAGCAAGCCTCATTATAATAGGACACACGGTTATCCCTTTTTATTTATTCACTTGAACAATTAAGCAACCATTCATAATTCATAACTTTGTTTTCATTAGGAAGAAAATAAAGAGATGATAGGATTATTTACAAATTAGTTACAGAGAACAGGAAGTCTGTTTTCTCTCTAACCACTGAGCAAGACTTGTCTAAAAACTCCTCCTGTAGGCTGGATCTGTGTTTCTGCACCTTTTGTGCTTCCTTGCTGCCTCTCTTCACTGATTGTCTGTCACACTGCTGGGCCCTTAATCTGGATATCCAGATTCCTATGGCTCCATCAACTAGTGGTCTAAGCCCAACACTTGCTACCATCAACTTCAAAGAAAACCCCCAGGAAGCTCCGATGTAACTTCCACCTGAGCATATCCCTACATATTCTGACACTTTTCCAGGTATGTGATTACAGGCACAAAAAAAAAAAAAACCAAACCACTAAAAGAGTTTTTGAGATGCATCCTGAACTGCAATAAGGGGTAAAACACAATAAAACAGTTCACTTGGGAGGGACCTACAGTGACCTCCCACTGCCTGATCAATTGGGGGCTGACTAAAATTTAAAGCATGTTATTAAGGGCACTGTCCAAATGCCTCCTGAACACCAACAGCCCTGGGGCATCGACCACCTTGCCAGGAAGCCTGTTCAGAGTTTGACCAGTGTTTGGTTCACACAACCTAGAGCAAAAGATATGCTGAGAGTTTGTATCCAAGGAATACATAGGAAAGACCAGCTATATTATGTTGTCCCTCTGTTAACACTTCTTAGTCTGTAACATACAGATTTCAAATACCAAAAGAAAAGTCACAATATTCTGAACCTTTCCTGTTCTCAGAGTCTTCATTTAGATAATTCAGTTAACTGTTGCAGAGGAAAAGGTTCTTCTAAAGATTGAGACTATTTCCTCCTTCTAGAAAAAATGGAAAATTCAATGGCTAATTTATTTTAAATGCTGACTGCCAAAGTAAACCAGTATGGACTGAAGCACTCTGTTTAACTAGATTCTAACTCGAATGAGAAATGCACGACTAACTCTCTTTAATTCCTGATAATACTTCCAAAATTATTTCTGAACAACTTCTTTTTGTATCTTACCTTTAAGTCACGAGCAAGGTCCATCATTACATTATAAAGCTTCTCCAAGTTCACACCTAAGTTTTGATACTGATATAAATAAATAAAAAAATAAAACAATAATTTTACTTCTAAAATGAAAGTATTTAGAGTTCTATATTTTTTATCTTTTTTAAAAGGTATCAAATAGTAAAAATAAGTTTTCCTGTTTTTCTATATGTCTCCTGTTACATTAACATTTTAGAAATGTTTTCAGACCTCTGACAAACCCAACTCATGAGCACAGAACTACATGAACATTCCAGATTTTACCTGTTCCTTCATGTACATTTTGCACAGATCACAGAGAAATAGTATCAAACTGCCTTTGATATTGAAGTCAGTTTCATTACTACTTGTAAAATGAGGAAAAATTCCCTGCAGTTTTCTTTCTCACATAAGAACTACCACTCTTCTGTGCCAGAACTGTTCACTTCCTTCCCTTCTGTTCCACACAGAGCCATGCCACCTCCTTCAGGGGGCTAGGATACCATTTTGAAATGCATACAGACACTGAGATTATGACTGTTGGCTCCAAGAACATACATTGCAGCAGTTTGTGAAGAGCCGGACTCATGCTGGAGAAGTTCATGAAGGACTGTCTCCCATGGGAGGGACCCCACAGGGAGCAGGGGAAGGACTCCTCACCCTGAGCAGCAGCAGAAATCAACCTATGAGGAACTCACAGTAAACCCCATTCCCATCTCCCTGCACTGCTGTGGTGGAGGAGATAGAACTTGTGAAGGAAGGAGGGAAGGGTGGGGGAAGGTGTTTTTAATATTTATTTTACTTCTCATTCTCCTGCTCTGATTCTGTTAGTAACAAATTTAATTAATATCCCCACTTTGAGTCTGTTTTGCCTGTGATGGTGTTTAGTGAGTGATCTCTCCCGTCCTTACCTCAGCTCATGAACCCTTCGTCATATTTTCTCTCCTCTGTCCAGTTGCAGAGGAGAGTGAGAGACTGGCTTTAGTGGGTACCTGGTGTCCAGTCGAGGTCAATACACCACACGGTCTAGTCCTATAAGTGAGGACTTCTCTCTACCCCAGACAGACTAATTCAAGCAGGCCCACACTGCAGTGAAAGTCATCAACCTGTCTCCAAGAAACCTCATCCATGCCAACCTGATCCAGAACAAACCAGATGTCTGTGAAATACAGACAGTTTTCTTGATCCCATTCTGGAGGCAGGAAAGTGCCCAGTGACAGGCTTCAACTGACACCAACAATGCTCATCAGCGAATGCAGCAATGACACAAACTGCAAGATGTTTAGCACCTGTTCCAGCAAAGGTTTCAGGGAATATGGACCAGGATCCCTTTGGCACAGCAACAAATACATAGACAAGCAGCACATCTTCTATGCTGAAGGTGTGTGGGTGAGTAGTGAGCTATGGAATAAACCAGCAGTCATTCCAAGGACTATGGTGGATAGACAAGATTAGGACAATACAGAGGGAGCTTCTCTGAACTAGTGGGGGATGAGACATGATGTATCACTTATCACAGATCCCTCTGGGAGTACAGACACCTGTTGGGAACCTGCCAGCAAGGACAGAGCAAGAAGGCTGAAGAGATAAATCTGGCTAAGAGCCAGGATTCACAGGAAGAACTGGGACTCACTGAGCAAACAGAAGAGCCAAAAAGGAAGTGTGAGAGTCCAGGTAACAAATTAAGGAATAAGGAATGGGGGGGGGGGGGAATAATCACAGGATGTTACAAGGAGGCATTAACTTGGACTTGAGTGAACAAGTCAGCAAAAAGGTTGAGGCAAGGAAACAAACTAGACCTGAAGTAGGACAGGAAGGAAATATTATTTCAGTATTTAACTCAGAGCTGGGAATCAGGATGACAAAGTTGAGAAATGATAAGTAAGAACAGATGTGATACCTGAAGAACAAAAGACTGAGTCAAGCTAAGGAAAGAGACAAGACTAAGGATGCTGACTCACAGGAGGGCCATGACATACAGAAATAACCAACAAGTTTATAGTTTCTGCCTGTTTGCCTGTCCATTCCCTACACTAATAGCTTAATGCATGAAGCAGCTTCTGAAGAACTGCAGTTTACAGCCAGTGTTTTAAAGCAAACTGGCTCTGGTTTTCTCAGAAATGTCTATACTAACAGGTACGTGCCGATACAACGACCTCTGTCCGTGCTCTGAGCCCACTTGACATTTGTGGACTTGAATCACAGAAGTCCTATAATCATGCTGCAATATTTGGTCTGAACAACCAAGGCCTCAGAAAAGTGAACAGTTTCAAAAAAAAAAAAATCATTTAGGTTGCTGCACAGCATCTTATCATTCAAACAACTTCTGAAGGCCACAGTAGATCACCATGGCCCAAAAGACAGATATCAAAATTTTATAAAATTCAGTAAATATGTTTCAACAGGAATATAGGAAGATATTCAATAGGATATAGGAAGAAATTTCTATAGTGCTGGGGATAAGATCTCAAAAAGTTTATCACACATTCTCTCGTAATGAGAGAATAAAAATTCAGATCTTTTCATTCACATGCTTGGAAGTTCACATTTGACTCCTGCTATTCCTCAGCCTATGGTGTGGTGTCTTTACCAGCTGTGAAATTTAGCAAAATTTTAATAATAATCAACTAAATATAGTCTACAAGTTCACAGGAACTGGAAAAGGCAGCATTAGACATTTTGGAAAGGAGAGCTGGAAATCATTTTGCAGGGAGGTGGAAAGAAAAAAGATAAGATTATACATTAATATTGTTACTGAACATTATGGTTTTGAAAGAAAATTTCACAGCTGTCCCTGGAGAATGAGATCCCATCTTGGTAGAATGCAGTAGAACCTTCCCTTCTTCCCTTTCTTTAGATTTCTAACAAGTAGTATTAATAGAATAATTTTCTCCCATTAGAAACGCATTATCTATCTTTTCATGCAACATTTTGTAGGCAAAAGCAATTCTTTTATCATTTCCTTCCCCTTTCAACCCAACCTCAAACAACTGAAAACGAGCTACTTACAGATGCATTTCTCAAAGTGCCTGTATCTGTATTTTCTGCTCCCTTTGAGAAAGGCTTTGCAAAATACTTCTGTATTAAAGATTCAAAGGAAGGAACTGTGTCGCTGGGGTTTATCAGCCATGCTGCAATCCTTGGATCCAACACAACACTATCGGCAACTACAAGAATAAGTTATTTCTAACAATCAAAATATTTATATTACCCCCTATATTAAAAAATACCTCTAAAGTTTTGCCCATTTTTCCTGTGCCCACACTTCATAAAAGGACAAGTATTAACTCTACAAAAATGTTAAACATTGAATTCGCAGCTGTAACAAATAGTCAATATCACGACTACACAGGAGTAAGTTCAGTATTAAATATTTTTGAAGAGGGTTATTTTGTGAGGTTGGGGTGGGTTTTTTTCATTGGTTGATTTTTTCAAGTTTTAAAATATAAGTAAGCCTTTGGTTCTTTAGATTTACTGTTAAAGCCTCTCTTTCTCATCACTGGAAAACATCAAGTTGAAGTTTTTCTTATGAGCGTCTCCCACTGCTACACTTTGTGGTTGTTAACTTGATCCACCAAATTGCCAACAGGGATCAGGGAGAGATTTGCTTCCTAGTAATCAGACTGAGATTGTTAATGTACATATGAATTCACACATGGGTGCACAACACATTGTTTCCAAAAACCAGAACCTTTTGTCCTATAGGATCATAAGTGCTTACACTGCACTTTCTCTCATGTTCACATAGATGGATAGCATAGAGCAAGCCCAGTGCTGCTTCAGTTCCCTCTGAAATACAGTTTCAATATGTGTACTGCAGTACTACAAAGACCAGGAAAAACTAGTAACTACAATGCTTTGTGATATATTCAAAGATAAACCCAAGTACCCTCTTCAGTAACCCCTAAGTTAGTTCAAATGATGACCCACAGGCACATTTATAGAGAACTCCGTGCTACACAACCTCACAGACTCAGATACCTGAAAGCAAACTTTAACGTGTATAACGCAAGTTACAGCTGCAGGACTACTCTAAAGAGAATTTTTAGGGGTTTTGTTTGTTTTGTAGGAAGGGTTTTTGTTTGGTTTCTTTTCCATAGCAGAAATAACATGTGAGGAACTATCAACTTCTGAAGTTTAAAAACCTAGACAAGAATTCTTCTGGTTATTAGAAACTTCAGATTCAAATTCCATGCACCAGCTAGTATCTAATCTAGACCTAGTACTGCTTGTGTGTACAGGTTATAAAACTATCACTACTGGCAGTACCATCATGACATTTCTTCCCTCCTTTCCCACTCCCAGTGCTGTTTTATGTAGATCTTCCCACCAGATTTTAAATCACCTTCAGTTTACTGTGATTTACTGATGAAACTTTTCAGATGCTGAACACAAGCTGACAAGACTCCATAGAGGAAGCCCTTTCTGAAAGGTCACATTTACTTTTGTAACTCACTCAGCAGGAATCTGATACATGGAACCAAACAGGCATTATATCGACATCTTATGCCTTCTGTTTGTAGTTGCTTTTAAATCCAACAAACAAGTCTTATTTGTTCCTATCAAAAAAACACAAGTACTCATTCAAATAATTCCCAAGTCTGACAACTGTGAGCATCTCTGGGATTTATTTTAGCCTTTCCTTTGAGCAGAGGAAGCTTTTTACTAGGGAATATGAAACATGAAGTAGTTTGACCTTTTCAGCTATAGTCAGGATTGCGTCGAGAGCTTTTGTTTCCACTGGAAGCTATCCTTAAATTACTCAATGATTTGATTCCTACTCTAAGAAGAAATACATCATCTTCACATGCCAAGCCTCTGGACACATCCTCCCCAAGAGGGATATTCTTCTCCATGGTACTAAACTGTTTTTCAATATATTATTTAGCTACCAATGTAGTTATTTCTACACCCAGGGATTTTAACAGAGACATCAAAATCATCACAATTATAGGATGAGATTGCAGATTCAATACTTACCTTGTTTCCAGCTGATTTCATTACCATAAACTTGAAGTAGAGTCCTCAGGAAATCTTTTGCATTGAAGCAAATTATTGGAACTTTGCACTGTAGCATTTGAAACAACACTTGCCTGCACAGAAGTAGTTCATTAACACACACTATATTGCTACTACATTTAGTGAATCTATACACTTTATTCATTTAATTAGCACCTAATACTCAACAGTTAACCCAAGACATTTCCTTATTCCTATAAGAACAGAATATTGCATTTTGAATATTAAATTCTCAATTTAATAATACCTGAAGCTTCCTTCTATAAGAAATTAAACATCCTAGCAGATATGCCTTATCATGCATTCATAGAGAAAACAAATCCTCTCAAAGTTAAATGCAACCTTAATCCAAAACAGCAACTGGCATCCCTGTAATACGTCAATATATCCAAATAAGATCAGAGAGGTCAAGTCACTGTAGCATTGTAAAATATTGATTTAAAAGTTACTAGGCAATTTAAATTACCATAACTGCCTTGTGTTAGTACACTACTTAAATCTAGAATGTTTCATCTCTGTCATTTATTTCCATCTTTTCAAAATGTCTGTAATTCCCTCATTCATGCTATTTTAAATAGATTTTACCAACTATATATATCAGTATGTAGATTTAATAATTACGTGTATCTTTTTTTTATAAGTCCCATTTTGGTCAATATAGAAAAATAGTATTTTTTAATAGAACATTTTTGATGGCATGAAACCACAATACCAAGGGTTTGGACATACTAGAAATCACACAGATCCTAAGCTATTATTGTATGCAGTATAGATCCATTATTAAACAACTGCACCATTCTTACAAGAAATAATTACCTATAAGATTCATCTAATACCCTTATTCAACTTATTCTTTCTACTGTTCATATGTACCTGTTTTATTGACCTGTTTTTCTCAATTCACAACAACCTAGATATTCAAGCTGACAACAAGACATTAAATTAGTTGTCATGTAACTCTAATATTACAGGTGGAGAAGCACAGGTAAGCAAAGTGACTTGTTTCAAGTCCCAGTGAAACAGTGGCAGAGATTCGACTAACAATCAAGTCCAACATCTTGAAAATGAAAGTTTTGTAATTTAATAACCCCAGTTCAGCAGTTTACAATTAGGCAGTTAATACTGAAAGTCATAAAATAGTCTGATGAATTTTTAACATGCAACTATTACACCTAAGAATCAGATTCAGTTCTCATTTCTCCCTTTATGGGATACAATTTCCAAGTTAATAGGAATAAAAATGGATTTTGGTTATAATAACTGGAAGTTTAAAACATAATCCAACTTTTTATTGAAATTTAGTCCAAGTATTAAACAGATACATTAAGCGTTTATTCTAAAAATTATATTGCATTATTACTGAATATTAGTAAAACTTCATTTGGGATCTCAAAAGCCATTTAAAAAATCTGCCCTAAAAGGACGAAAAAATATTAGCATAGCTCAAAAAGGGTGCTTACTGTAATAATGCCCATCAAAAAAGTACTAGATAAGAAATGCAGTTGAGGAAATGGAAGATAAAAACCAAGAAAGATAAACCTGAAAGAAACACGTTCTTTGGTGCCATATAGCTTTAGCTGTTCATAAAGGATTTCCAAGGCAAATGCAAACAGCTCCTAGTTCTGCAGGGCTGCAGTTAAGTGATATGCTGAGGCCAAAGGAATAGTCTACTCTTATTTGGTTTAAATTAGCCCAGACTTGACATGGAACTAATACAGCCAATATGAAACTCAATGAGCTTGACACATTAAGGAGATTAAGCTTGTGCTCTGTAACCAACATTACTGCTGCTAAAAGCATATGTAAAGCAAAACAGTATTTTTTCCTACATACTCTCACCAAGAAAATTTCATGTGAGCCTGTTCTTGTTCCCAGAGAGATGATCGTTCAGTTTTTAAATAAATTAATTTATCTTTTTCCTCAGCAGCTTTCCAAGTACAGCCAGTTGAAGAGTGGCTGGGAGGGAAAGGGTGATCGCTCTGATTCTTCACTAGCACAACAACTCCTTTTACTGATGAGGTTGAGACCTGTTAAGTGTAATTACAATAGTGTTTCCTCTGACAGATCTTGTGCAATCCTACAAAGAATAGTTCCCAAATATTTTACAAAATGAAACCTATTATGTACACTGGAGTTACTACACACACCACTGACACAGTAGAGGAGCAGGCAAGTGTTTCCATCTTGGAACAAAAATTCACAGTGACAGATACAGTAGAAAGTAGAAAGTAGAAAAAATATTCTAATTCAGTTTAAATTTAGGGTACACAAATGTCTGGTTAGCCCAAGTGGTTTCATTTCCTTTAAGTTTTACTTGGTAGCTTAAAATAAAACGTAGTCAAAATATTAAGGTTTACCCCATTTTACATGGATATTTTGGTATGCAGTACACAAAAGGGGTTCCTACTAAGCACGGGTTTGTGTTTGTCAGTCACATGCACAGTCAAACAGTTCTACAGAACTGACTCTAAACAAAGCCAATCCTTCACTAACCTGTTCTGAGCTGAGCTGCGAAGAACCATCTTGAAATATCATAGTAGTTACAAAAGCCACTGCCTGTTCTATAGTTGCAAGCAGTTCTCTTTTTTCTTCACATCCCAAAGTGCTAATATCACAGGGATAATTTTCATTAGTCTCTCTTTGTCCAGAGCTACAGCTGTATCTTCTTTCATGTGAAGAAGTGCAGGTCTCTACATGTAATCTTCTTGTTTTCTCAGAACAACATGTAGACACACTTTGCTTTCTTTTAAGAGGAACAGCTATTTTCTTTTCCCCATCCTTCAGCTTTTTTGCTTCTACTGAAAGATTTCTTTCTTGATATCCCCATGTTGGCAAGTCTGAATCCTGGTAACAGCTCACTATTTTGGTATCTTGACAGCCAAGCATTTCATTGGTATGCACTGTCCTGACTATCTCACCAGCACTACTTTTTTCAGGGCTGGCAGATGTTTTTAAAATGGCAATTCTGGAATCACAAACCTCCTGGGAAAATTGGAATTTTTTTTTTAGCAAAGCAATTATTCAACTTATGAAGATAAATAAAAAATGCGATAATTTACATAACCTTTGAAGAAATTAATATTCTACGAAAAAATGTTGATATAACAAAACAGTCAGTTTAGGGCAACCACATTACATAAACCAAAATTCAAGTATTTATCAGTAGAGATTATTTTGTGGACATATACTGTTTACATCCACAACCACTGCTGGTTTTTTTTAATCTTAGTCCAACATTAAAAAATGGCAAATCAACAGCTGTAAGATGCATTTAGTCCAGTGTCCTGACTTCCATAGTGATGAGGTTATTAGTGCCTGAGAGAGAAGAGACCATTCATCTTCAGCTTCAATATTCAGAGCTTTTTTTCATGACAGCTTAGTTTGTTAAAGAACTTTTGGCAAGGAACCTTAATGATTGCTTTGGAAATCCAAGTACAGGAGTCAACTGGATCTCTTTAAGCAATTTACAAGAAAAAAATACATATGAAAGCTGCACTGTGGAAGGTGCATGAATAAGCACTATATTCTATTCTGTTTAACCCACTATAGCCAGAGCAGTTTTCCCACTCCAGATAGTCCTTGGATCCCTTTACAGCAGCATGCTACTAAACAGCATTAAGCAAGATGCTGCATGGTAATGTTTTGTTTCTAATCCTTCATCCTTATTTCCTTCATAAATTTCCTTGTTATGCTACTGGCCTTAATACTTTCTTACTGTTTATTTTGCTACTTCTTTCTACAACCGCCTCAGCTGAGACAGATCCTCTGTCTTGATTTCATACACAAGGACTCTGGAATGGCAACTGGTGACCTTTCAAGATTCCCCAAGGTGAATGTGTTTAACTATTTGCAGATTACACAAAGTTGTATCTTCCCTCAATACTCTTTACACCTCGAGCACCAACAGGCCTTAGAGGAGCCAGCAGGCTTTCTACTTCTGAGGCATTTGGAAAAATGATGTGTAAGTGATGCATTTGCAAGCTGTTCCTCCAAGTTTATTTGGACTATACTATTGTATACTTCATCTAATTTAGTCAAACAAGGCAAGTATAAAAGAATACAAATTCTGTTAAGTTCATGTTTTTGCATGATGACATTTTTTAGTAGTGTCCTTCATACTCTTGGCCATACTACCTTTTCCTGCACAGATTTTAGTATTCATTTTAAATCTTCAATATTGTTTTGAATAAATCCCTATGTTACCTACACATGTTCTGATTTTGGAGGGCAATTCTATATACTTTCTTTTAAAAAGCTCCTTCAATTTTATGTATTTTCCTTTTTTGAAATTAAGCATCACTGTCTTATCTATCTTTTAATGCCTCAGAAAGATTACAGTCTCTGTCAGGGCACCTTTCAGCAGGAAGATTTTGAACCTAATCTCACACAGATTGAAATAAAAACCCATTTCTCTCCTGAGTTCTTTCTAACTGTTCCACAAAGCAGTTGTCTCCTCATTTTTAGTTGCAGCATCATGCATAAATTTACCATTCACCCACTCCATTGAAAACTAACTGAAGCCTCTCCAAATTACTCTATTTTCAGCTCTCCCAGCCCAGTCTCCTTCAGTACCTCTGCTGTCATTACCATTCCAAAAACTAAGGCTTCCTCACTTCAAAAGAACCACAAGTTACTGCAGTGCAGGACTCCCTCCATTTCCCAAGATGACAGTTTTCACTGATCAAAGGATACTGCCCATCTCTATCCAATCTGGATAAATTAAACCAGCCAGAATGACAAAGTCAATAAGTTTGGGGGTTTTTTACAGTTTTGCAATATTCCTCAACCCAGTTCTCATATACCCAAACCTTCGAACTACAGAGTCAGAGGATGAAAAAGGCTTAAGACTGCTTGAGATCATACTTCACAGGATCAACTCTACAGGTTCTAAGTAAACAGAAAAAGGAAGCTAATTAAGCTTCTGCTACTACCAAAATGAATAGTGGCTGTTCTCAATGAAGACAAATTAAATGGACTTAGACAAGAATAATCAAAAAGTGGACACTATAAAGTTACCAGAAGTGGAAAAATAATATGCTTAAGAGCCATAGAAAGACAACTAATTTGCTCAAGTGTATTCTCCAGTCAAACTGCAAATAGTTTTATCATTTAACACAGCAGAATTTGGATTATGACACTCCAGTAATTATAAAATCAGGAATAAGCAATTTTTTTAAAGGTTAAAAAATAAGAACAAGGCAATTTAATTATCCAGTCAGAATAATACAGGGAGAAACAGCAGCTTCTGCAAAGAACTGATCTCCTCTTAGAAATAATGACGTGGTTGGAAGTAGAGAAAACTCCCAGGATGTAGTTTCATCATTTATGTCAACGTAGGAATATTTCACTAGATGCAGCTAGTCAAAATTAGCATCCCATCATCACAAAAAGGGGTTCCACTACTACCCATGTGCACCCACAGCTGCATGAGCATCTATGAGCCTATGTAATTTGGAGGAAGTTATCCCATTCCATAAAAGAAATCAGTTTTCTGCATCCTGAGCAGCCTGAATGGACTTGCTGAAGTGTGCAACATGCACCAGAGTCAGAGTAAGTAAGGCTGTGAAACTTGCAGCTGGGACAGGAGTCCATTTGCAGCATCTGCAACTCATCGATCGACCCAATGGATTTTACGCTCAGGGCCTGAGCTGGGGCTGCTGCAGTTTCCCACTCCCACTCCTGCCCTGGCTCTCACTCACATGCACATCAAGCCAAATTGAGAGAGATGATTAAACCCAACATTTAACTTCCTACTACAGAGTAACTTTTCATCTGAATCAGCTCACTTTATGATTATGTGCTACCGGTTGTCCGGTGACAGAAGTCTGAGAACATTTTTAAACCCTGGTAACTGCCTGAATGTGGCAACCTCATTTCTGATCACTCTGTCATAAAAAAACAACTTCATGTTGAAAGGGTAACAGAAGTGGGGCCAAGACTCTCATGGGTAAATACATGCCAAGTGCAAAATAAGACAGGAAAAGCTACCTGAATTATGAGTGTATAAAATATACTGTGATAAAGCTTCTTATGGAAGAACCAGTGTATAACTTCAAACCTGCTATAAAAAGACTGCTTTTAGTGGTTTTCGATCTTACAAAATGCTTGCCTTTTCATTTCTCAGATGTGCATCCTTATCACCTACTTTATTTTCCTTTGTCTTCTCTATACCTTTAAAAAAGAAGAAACAATTTACAATACAAATGAATCTGTAAGCAGTGCACATAAGTTAGGTTACATACAGAGTACTATCACTGACATTTTTACCAAACCTAAAACAACTGTATTAAAATTTTCCTCGACAACCATTTTATCAAATTAACATCATTCATGCTTAAAAGGGCCCTGCAGGTTCTGAAATATGCATATGTAAAAGCCTTCTTTGTCACCATTAAGAAAAAATTAATTCAAATTCTCTATAAAGCATACAAACATTTTCCACGGTGCTCAGAAGAGGCATTGCTGTAATTCCACAAATAGGTGTATTTCCTTCTTTCAAAAAAACACAAACCATTTTGGTCAAAATAAAGCTTGTGGTGTGGGCATGAAGAAAAAAAAGACAACCAAACCCTACAAACATTTTAACTGTTTTCTTGGAATTAAGTAGTATTATTCCACAATAACTTTGTTCTATAAAGCACTGTTTGCATATATGACTGTAATATATTGTGCCCTACAGCGAACCCTGCAGGGGAGAACTTTATCACGTTGTTCATCCTGCAATAGAACAGGTATTGTAAGACCAGACAAGAACAGAGAGCAAGGGGAAATTCAGACCTACAAACTGACAGAAAGGTGAGGGGATACCAGCTCCAGAAGAAGCAGGATGGCCAATCATGCTGGGTCTGACACACCCAGCCAAAAGACACCTCATGGGCAAAGTATGTATTTTGTCCCCCCATACCGAGTACAACAATAAACTGATGTTGTCAGCTACCAATTTGCATTACCAGCAGCAAGACACTTTCTGAATCTCACATACTGATGACCAACATCAAACAAAGCATAAAGTGACCTATTTCTATTTACTAAAACTGTTTTTAAAAATTTTTGTCTAGGCAAATCAAGACCCTGTACTTAAAGTACCAAAAAAAGCCTTTTCCAGAAGAAACAAAGCTTATCATTACATGTTGGTGTAAGTGTATAATCAGCCATTTATCTCCAGCTCAGACTTCTAATCTGAGCTGTTAGAACAGCCAACATGGCATAGCTGTATTTGTAGCTTCAAATATTTTAGGTTTGGTTTTCTTGACACTTTCTACAACAGTAAGATTATAAATTAAGAATGATAGTATCTGAGTTTACATTCAGTGCTTTTAATTGTTTCACAGTAAGATACTTTTTCTTGACAAATCCACCCTCCAGAGAAGATGATGAGGATTACATTTCTCTCCTCCAGCACACAGCAATCAGTATGACAGATCGAAGAGAGATGCAACTTCCGATTTCTGATTTCTGAATTACGGCAAAGTACCACCAGATGGCAGCAGAAACCTGTCCTTGCCCTCCAACTCCTTAGGGCTTGATGGAAACATTACAGTTCCACTGCCAAGACAACCACAGAATTTCACCAACTAGGTCAAAATTGTGGATCTTTGTTCTATTTGAGCCCAATATTTACCTTCCAAAAGACAAACAGTTTTTCCATTAAGCAGAATATAAAAATCTACCAATAAAACACAGTTCAATACAGTTTGAAACAGACTGAATAACGTGGCAGGTTTCTGTTTGGTTTTAAGAGAGGTGAACTTTTTCTTCTTTCCAGATCCACACCAAAGCTATATAGATAAAGATATATAGATAGATATGCAATTTCCTAAGAGCAATTCAAATAGGTCTGATAAACCTGTACACTTCAAACAATTGTTGAGTAATTACTGCATGGAAAACAAGAGCAAGAAAATCTTTTCATGTGACCTGCTGCTACAAAATGCTTATACTGTTCTTTCACTCCCCAATAAACAGGGATTTAGCAGCACTACAAAGACGACCACAAGCTCATTTGGTCAAAGATACCAGACACCTTCATGGTGTTCCAAAAAAAAAAAAGGATCTGCAATTTTACACCTTGAGAGAGAGTGAATGGATCAAGAGCAGACAACAAAACTGTGTTATTGCACAGTACTGAGACTTCCCCAGTCTAAGAGAAAAAATATTACTGAGAAAAATTAAGGCAGGGAAAATTACAAGGTAGCAGGAGAAGTAGAATGGCAATTAAACCAAGGCTGAAAAGAGATCTGATTTTGTTTAAAATCATCTGGGTTTTGATCCCAGATGTACCATGTACAATGTACCATTTTAAAATGAACTTATTTCTTCAAATGTGTATCACTGACTGACAATGAACTCCTACCCTTGTCACTGCTGCACCACCAGGCTCCACTGATCCAATACTTTACTACTGAAAGAGGGGCCTGAACCATAATTTATACAAAACTGAGGCTGCAAAAACCATGATGTACACAAGAACAAATCCCATCATTTAAATAATATTCCAGGATCTAGTTCTCAGGAGAAAACAGACAACTGAAACTGAGCAAAACTCCAATTTTCTATCTACTTCCTTCCAGAGCTACCAGACTGACAGACTATGACACACAGAGAATTGAGAAAAAAAAATTACATCTTGCAAAACCTCTCTAGCATCCACAATGTTCTGAGTAAGATTTGCCCAACAGAAAGATCTGCTGAGGCACTTGTATCATTACCTGATTTGCTCTTTCACTGGGACTTTTGTTCACTCTTCCTCCTAGAATTTCACAAGGAGTGCATTGCTAATGAACACGTGTTTAAAGCACAGACATGAGTCTGGAGAGTTCAAGGGCCACCTGGTGAGATCCTAGTACCTCTAGTGATCTTCAAATATCTAGTCCAGAGTCATGTTCATGTATACATATAATTTATTGCATTTAAGAGTATTAGTTAAGTAACAGTTTGAAATTCTCATCTACTTCTACACCACACAGGAACAGAAAGAAAAAAAATTAAATTGAGGGTACTGTTCCTTGCACTCACATAACATTATTTAATCAGAAAAGTCCCAGAAAATGTCAGAGTTACAGCTTAATTCCTTTTCTAAACCTGTAATCCTAAAACCTCACCTTTTTTTTCCCCCATTTAAAAACAAAGACTAGAGGTTTGATATTGTTTTGTTTGTTTGTGTTTCAATTTTTCAACTGAAAAACACTTAAAAAGGCTAAGACTTACTCACTCTGATTATTTTCTCTGTTTGTCTGAACTTCTACAGGAATAGACTGCAGAGCTGTCATAATCCTCTGAGCAGTATCAGATAAAGGCACTTTAGAAATCTCACATCCTATGTACATGTACTGCTCCATTTTTAAGATTAAACCTATATGCAGAACACACAAATTATTAATTAATCACAGCCACAAACAATCCTCACTTATATTCTGTTGAAAACATAGTGAGCGTGTTCAGCCATTCATTCTCAATAGAAAATTACATTTCCTCCCAGACATGTCTGTTAGCAACATATTGTAAATAAAAATGTAATAATTTTTCAAGACTGGTATCTTTGAAACAGTGTTTTAATACATTAATAAAAGAATCAGCACTCTTAAGTACAGCTAATTTGTACCAGAAAAAAAAATCTAGTAAATAAATCAAGAATTTGATGTATGTCTGACATGCTTTCCCCCCTCAATATCTTTAAACCAGTCTAGCACATGCATACACTTACTTTATTGCTGCTTGGATTTTATTAGGAAAAAAACAACCAACTGTCAAGGAACTGCCAAAATTGAGCCAACACAAGATGAAAGAAACACACATTACTAGCATGGTATACAACCATTAATTATGTGCTGTTTCAGAAAATACTTATCATAAAAGACCTCTGTTTCCTAAATTTTGTATAATTGAGGCACTCAAGTACTGTTATATACAAGTGACTTTAAAATACTTACTACAGTTTGTCAGTTTGAGAAACTGGCCAGCAACATCTACAGTCTCTACAAGCTTTGACCACCACTGTTGTCCTAAACTTTATCCTTTTCTGAAAAGGAGTAGCTTTTCCAGTTGACCTGGCCATATTCTATAATACATACAAAATACTTGGAAAATTCTTAGATACAACACACATTGGAGAATCACAAATAATGGTGTCCATACTGATGCCTTGTTATTTTACAGTTAGACTAGAAGAATGCATAAAGCTTAACAAAAACAGAAGAAATATCCAACATTTTAAAAACACTTAAAGGATCCAAGCTGTCCAAGTCAATCACTCCACCAAAAACTGCTGTTTACTAAATTATTCCTATACAAGGTAGCAAGTGGAGTCCTGCTCCTCTGGTCTTCTCACTAAATCCAGATCATGAGTAGACTGTCAAGTTTAACCATCATGCAAACAATAGTTCCTTTGCTTGCATGGAAATATTTTTCTTAGCTCAAGACCACAGGCAGACTGCAGCTTTGAATACTTACAAGTGCAAACATTTGTCTCTCGATTCAAAGAGGAACATCCATCCTGCTGCATTAGAACTGGTTGTATCTATCTAGCTCATATTAGTAAGTGTGTGAAGGAAAGTGAGAGAGAGGCAGAATAGCTTTCTTTTCCCTGATGTTCCAGGAGTCAGAAATATAATCTTTCCCCACACACAGCTCCTCCTAACTTTTATAATTAAGAGCAACACTTCTTTCCTACACGGGGTTAAAGTGCTCCCTGACCTCTCAGGGTGGGAAGCAGCAATCACAGCCTCAGGGGCACATCAAAATGAGAACCCAGCAGACTAAATATAAACAAGACACTATGCCTCAGAACAGGCCTAAAACCAACACACAGATTCACCATAAATATTGACCACACTGAACTGAATTTATAGAGTTTGGCATTTCACAATAAATACAAAGTACAGGGTTTAGCAGCATGAAATCCAGACATAAAGACACTCAACCAGTAAGCTAAAAAAAATTAAACATCTCAAAATAAGTTATGCTCACATAAAAGTTAAAAGTCTGCCATCAAAACAGTTTAAAGACTACTGTTACTGAAGTTAAAGCTGATATACTAACCTTCATCAATATGTACAATGCTTGAAAGCAAGCACAGCTAATCCCATCAAAATATAAAAGACTTCAAGTTATCATACTATAAAATCCTATTTAGTTCCATTGGTATATTAGGAAGCTATACAAAAATTTGATAAACAGGCTAACAATGCACATGAAAGCAGCAGTATGAAAGTATCAGCACTCTGAATTGGAATGCCTATCATTATAAATTACAGAGCAAACTCAGATGTCCAAAAGACAAATTTAAAATTATTCTTCTTTGACAAGCCCAGTATAAGTATGGACTGGTTTCAATGGAGAAGACAGGCCATAAGTTAAATTAAGAGATGTTGGAATGGTCTTAAAACAGATGGTCTTGGTATTTAAAACAGATTCTGCTACATATTCCAACACTTTTTAAGACAATCGAATCTTCTTAGGAGAACTGTAAGGGAAACAATCATGATATCTGCCTTGGAGAACTCTCCTCTTCACTATGAGCACATTACACTCATGTTCCAAAATCTGGAATGCCTCCTCCACATTTATTTTGTGGTTCACAATCAAAGGTTCTCAGCATGCAAGAAAACTTAAGGGTATGAAATGTTCCTTTTGGTGCTCCACTGTGTGCAGCAGAAATGAACCTACAGGCCAGGAGAAGGGCAGCCTGAGCATAATTCTTTCAATTAAACAATGCATTACTTTGTATCCAAGAGCTTTGACAAAACTGAGATTGAATTTAGCAGGCAGATGCCAAAGCCTGCAAAGCAGCACCCAATCCAATGGTAACAAACACACTGCAGGTGAGTATCAGCCTCGACGAGCTAATGTTTATTATTCCACAAACTTGTAGACAGTTTACACTAACTTTTTCCTTTCTTAGGAGTACATTGAAGTTTAGACATTAGGAACTCCATTGGCTGTGAAATTCTCATCTTCCAGACCACTGGCTTTAGCCTGAGACTGCTGCTCAAGTTCCTCTACCATCTCTTTCAAGTGATCTTCATCTTTGAAAAAATACACATACAACTCTCTTTCCATCTGTTGCAGCTTATTGGACTGTAGAATGCTTCTCTTCAACTTCAGATCAGCACCCAGATCCTCAAGGCGCTGCTTTAGTTTATTTACATTAACTTCCAGTTGATGAAACAGCTCAGTAAGTTCCTAACAAAAAATACAAGACAAAAAATCAATACTTTTATACTATTAATACATTAGCTGAACTAGAAATACAAAAGTTTTTTTTTGCTTTGGGAAGCCACTTTTATTTGTAATTGAAAAGTAATCACAAAAAATATAAACAAAGGTGGTAAGGGATTCCATTCAATTTTTGAGCTTCATGTAACAGAACTCACATCAGATTATGAAGATGTAATTTCATTTACTTGTTGACCAGATGAGTTAAAACCATAAAACCTGACCTAGACAGATGAGTGAATGACATTTTCAATCAATTAAAAGTCTTCATTGCTAGTCAAATCTTAAAAGGGAAAAAGAGACCACAACAAAAAAGCCAAATCAATTTTAAAATTAAATCATTAATTACCAGCTACAATTTTCCCAACTGGCATTCTTATGACAGTTCAGTATAAGCAGACTAGTCACCTACTTACACTTTATTTCCTTATTAAAAGAATTACTTTCCTTGAGAAACAGTAGCAGTAGAAGGAGATGTCACTGTGTTTTAAGAGGTAATTTGAGTCAATAGACAGGCATTTGATTTAATAATGTATAGTCCCTACATATGTACTGTTCCAATTACAGTTTCATTTTTTAATAAAAACTGTTCTATATGTTGTGAATTCACTTGACAGATGAAAGTTAAATTTATTTTTATGTAATTAACCAAAGAAGTATTACATAAGAGGAGATTTCCCTCAATGCATTTTGAAGTATCTACAATGATTTAAAAACCATAACAAGTAGCACTTAACAAACCCTATTCCCATTTAAAAGATGTTCTAAACCCAGTGCCTGAGAGCTGTGTAACAGGACTGTCCTACTACAACTGTCCTTCAAAATTCTGTTATTTTTATTTTGTCCAAATGAGCCAGGCTTTTTAAGGGGCCAAACCATGCTACTGGGGTGTTACAGGTAACAGGGGAGAAAAAAGCCTATCTGAAATAAAGAGAAATTTAAATGAGTGACACCCTTTCCAGTGACACCCTATCCAGACAACGTATTTCCCACACCACAAACTGACAGGACTGCACATGCCTTTGAAAGAAATTAAGTTAGATGCAACAATTTGCTCAGACACAAAAAATTATTACCTGCCAGCATTTACAAAAATCCAACATTTGCCAAGAACAAGTAAATAGAGAGTCCATCATCATTATGCTAATAAATTTGTTGCTGACAAGTGGGGACAGTTTGTGTCTACAGCCTTCACACCACATTTTTGTCAGTAAAAGAACATGACACACATTAATGTAATAATTCTAATAGCTCAGTGAGGGCTTACCGGACTCCGGAGCTGTGGCTGATTTCCTCCACAATACAGAGAGTCACGAAGGGCATCTACATTTCTTTCTAGGTTGGCCAAGAGGACAGACTGCTCTTGAGAAGATGCTGCTGTCTGCTCTTGTACCATAGCACAGTCTTGCTTTAACTTCTCAGCCATCCGCTCCAGGTTTTTGTATGTTTTAAATAATTGTTGTTTTTTATTTCCTCCTTCCAGGAGCTCATATAGCCTGTAACAAGTGAAGTAAGACACACAAGCATTTCTAAGTTTCCTAAGCACTCCACCATCATTAGTCAAGAGAAGATGTCCATGCTGAGAATCCAGAGGACTAGTAAAAGGTAGTATTGCTCAGGGCTCTCTTACTACACTGCTGTATCTCCCACTGATTTCATGATTCTATCTATATAGAGCTAGTGATTAACAGGAATCCAAAATATTGCAATATTAAATTAGCAGCGATGAAATGTCAAAGTAACAGTTAGTAAGTACAAAATGAATGCAAATAAAAGTTGAGTGTGCTTTTGCCAACTATTTCCCGACACTCCAAGAACTGCAAAATAAGATACTTTTTTTTTGAAGTGCTGAAAAAAAGCTGACTTCAGTGGCTAATAAAAATAAGAGCAATCTTTGTAACATTTTCAAGCTTACTGGAGTATTTCCTGTTTCCTATGAAGAGAAATTCTCCAGCTAGTTACAAGTCATGCAAAAGACTATGCTATACCAAACTGTGCTCTCACACTGCATCAGGAGTAGGCCAATATGATCACAGATAACTTTGCTCAAGCGTTACTACCACCTCTGTATAATAAAATCTTCAGGAGCTGAGCCCTAATATAAAATCAGACTGGCTTTAGTAAGAGGAGATATATTTCAAAAGTAACTGAGTTTCTTTTGAGTGTCTTCTGCTTACAAACCCTTTAAAGTTTTTAACTCTTTCAACCTCCCTTCCCTTTTCAAAAACAACAAAAAAAAAAAAGTGGAAAAAGTAGCCAGACAACATTCAGTGACTTGGAGACTTTATAATAAACCTGAACAAAACTGTTACAAGTTGACAATGCAAATGCACAATGGGAGCAAAATTAATGCTGCCTCATTAGTGCAGTTATTCACTATGTCAAACCATACTCTGCTATCACTTAGCAATTATTAAAAAAACCCAACACCTGAAGCTCCATTCTAAAGGAGGGAAAGTCTGACAGTAACACACCTGTAATTATACAATACACCTCATCAAAAGGTCTAGTCTTGACAGAACAGCAGCCCAGCATACATCTCTGACTGTATCACCTGAGCTACAGGGAGACTTATCTACTTAGACAGTGAAAAACCAGACTCCTGCATGGGTGACAGGACACTCAAACCAGGCGGAAATCAAGCAGTAAAAATGAGCTGAACACATTTCATGGACTGAAGGAGTCATTCCTCTCTCCTACCGCACACGGGTTTTTGCCGGCTCAGCTGATGAGCCCACACATCAAACTGAAAAATTACTGTTATTAATGTCTATCCTTCTAGAGTAGCTTTCAGGAGCTCCTAGATCCCCATATAAGACAGGTTTGGCTTTGAACATCCATTATTTTCTGGATATTGCTTAGGAATACTTCAACACTGTTAAAAAGACTGATAATTGAAAAAGTTCTCCTTGGGCAAATGTGCAAAGAATTTCAAAGGACAGGGAGGAAGCAGGTTTCATATCTTGAAGACTTCAGTTCTTGAGAATTCAAAATTCTAATTAGCTACAGCAAGTACCTAAGAACTTCACCACAGGAAAGGCTTAGCTTGCCTAAGCTGCCTTCTCCCCGATATCATTTCAAAGCAAGTCAAAGTTCAATAGTGACCATAACACTCACCTGCAAGAGAAACCATCCTCGGGACTAATAGTGTTTTTTGGCTTTGCAGGTTGAATTCGCTCAGTTATCACCTGTAGTCTCTGCTGCAACTCATCAGTGCTCTTCTTCAGAGATTCTACCAAATTCTCGAGCTGGCAGCTGATCTCCTGGTGTTTCTTCATCTCCATTTTACAGCCCAGCTCAATAAGTTCAAACGATGTTTTCTGTCTCATCAAGTGCCTGCATATTTCATCTTGTCTTGCAGCGCAACAATCCTGCTGAGCAATCTGATGATCCAAATGTGCTTTCAGCACTGGCACAGTCAAAAGTTGTGCTTTCTCTTTCAGAAGGGGAAGCAGCTCTTCGTTGTTTATCTGAGCCATATCTCGTTTAATTGTTGAAATTTCATCACTTAAACTAGATATTTTGGCATCAAGGTTTTCTTCTTGTCCAATATCCTGCATAAAACAAAACATATATCATTTTCTTCACAGTTACCTCCAGCCACTTTCCAAACATTCCTTCAGTTCACACAAGGTTCATGTGCTTATGTTACATCTACCTACAAAATTAAATGAAAATTCCACAAGTAGTTTAAGAGAACTTTACAACATAAGGCAAATACAGATGTACAAAGTAGATATCAAATAAATATATTTCAGTAAAAAGTAATTTCATTCAATTGCAGGGGCAGGAAACAGTTTATTGTGCTAAAAATAGAAGAGCTCCATTTTACCCAGCACCCAGATTTCAAACATGTCTAACTGAAATCTCACATGCAAACATAATTATTTATATTCACTGGATGATCAACACTGCTGGCAGAATCAATCTTTTTCAAATTACTCTAATCAATCAAGTCCTATATACTAGTCACCCATAAATGAAAATATACAAACTGACATGATGTCTCAAGTAATTCCATGAGTGGCACAAGCTAATACCTTTCCTTTCATTATGATTTCTTCACAAACTCCAGTAGCCATATCTGTCTGTCACTCACTTGTTGAGAGATTTCTGAGGCTTCAACTATCAGACTCATTTATTTGGTACAAATACTTGAGTTTCAAAAGAGTCAGTAAACTAAAACTTTCTAAGCTTATGCTACACAATATAAACAGGAACACATTTACCACATTGGCTTCTCAATACCCTAAAACTGTAACCAAAGCTAAGATTTCGTTTATTGTACAAACAACAGAAAGCCAGTTCTAATTCAAAAATTCAAAGCCAAACTAAACTAGAAAGGTAGTACTAAGTTCTAGGGTTTTTAAGGTAGTAACTCTGGAAAGGAGATCTAAAGGTACTGGGCCAAAGTGAAGAATTTCTAATGACAGAAAGTAATTTCACAAGACGAGTTTTGTGAGCAAGACTAAAACTTCATAGAAGCATAATTTCACTAAATAAAAATACTTGAAATAACAATAGCTCAGCAATTCCCTTCACTAGATCGAGTTGAACATGGCTGGCTGTTTAAAACTCCAGTACTTTCTACCACTTTTTGTGGCTTTCTGTGGGAAAACAAGCTGAGTCACTCTGCACCTGCATTTGGTTAATTGGCATCAAAAGGGAGGACCGACCTTGGCTAAGTGTTTTGACAGAGAACGTTGTGCTTCTGAGTGGAAAACCACTCCACATGATAGCCTGTTTTTCTCTCATGGCTGAACACAGCCACTGTATGCTGCGAGTGTGTGCCATCAAAACACTGGTTTAGGAAAATCCTGGGAATTCTGGTTAACTAAAAGACAACACCAGGTGCTGTTTATGGGAGAACATGAATAAAAGGGGAAAGCTGAAAACGGTCAGCAGAGAAATCCCAAAACCGAATTCTGTGTGGAGTGCAGCTTCATCTTCCCAGCACCCATAGCTGGTGACCCCCATGTGAGACCTGCCTTACTGGACCCTTTTAAGCGCCCACGACTCAACGGGGTTGGTGAGTGCCAGCATTCATCTCATTAGAAGGGGACAGCGGAGCCTGCAGGACAGGAATCTGTGGAGTTGTGTAGTAATATTGGGGTAGGGAATTCCCCAAGAACACAGACTTTATCTAAAGGTCTTACAACAGGTCTTGAATGCAGCAGGATATGAGGTTATGGATGAGCAATTGGAACATTTACTTCTGTGCATGCTTTGCAACCACTGAGAGTAACAGAGCCTGATATAGGGACAAAGGAAACGATGGCAATATTTTAATTTAAATTTGGACATCTTGAAAATACACTCTTTTAGACTTGTTGGACGACTTCTTTGGGGAGAAGGAAGATATATCACATGCCGTTTCTATCTGTGCTGCTGATCAGCCTGGTTTATATTCCCTGCTGACAGGGGATTTAAGACCTCTGGTGAGGGGTCAGTCTTCTACCTTTACTCATGATAATCTCCTGTCTCCTGCCTTTAACCATGCTAATTTACCTCTGGTGGGGGATCTGACCCCCAAAAATCAGTGCCTGATCATTCCCCCCCACCTCACTGTGTGCCACCACAGCAGCCTCCCCTCCCTCTCCAAGCTCCACAGCTGACAACGTGTCAGAGCTGAACTTCAACCATGAAACCAAAAGAACATAAAAAAAAAAATAAAAAGGGAGCTTAAATGCATGAATCATCTGAAGAATGGACACACAGCATTGGAACCATTGAATGTATTTGATAATTTGAGTGCCTATAACTTTGTTCTTGGTAACTTTAAAAAAGGGAAGTTATTTATACAGTGTTTTGTGCTTTAAACCAAAAAACATCTAGGCCTAGGTACATGTGTACAATTAGATGCCCTCACACACGTTGCAGTCGAGATTTAAAGAAAAAAGTTAAGAATAATACTAAAATTGATGAAAAAAAATGTTAAAACTTCAGATTGATTGACTGATTTATGCCTGTGCCAGGGACCTGAGTTGTGTCTGAGATGCTGCCATAGTTGGTCTGTGGTTGTGCTTGTCAACGTGGCATGGGAAAATATTGTATAGTTTCACTGTTGAGAATACTGAACCTTGGAAAGAGAAACAATAGATTAGGTTAACTGGTGGGAACTTGAGTTTGGCACGGAGTTGGTACCATAAGCCATTGTGGGCTCGGGTCGCGCGTTGGCCACACATGGGCCAAAGTCACAAATGGAAAATTCCACTCCTGGGAGGGGGATATAAGAGAGGTGGTTCTGGGTTGGACAGGGGGTGCCCCCTGCTTTGATCCCAGGGACACCCTGAAAGGTGCATGGCCTGCCTGCCCCTCCCGCCAAGGACCACGTCCATCTTCTCCTCCTGCTCAGCAGCTCCTCAGAAATTCAGGGGTCAGTGTGTATGGAATGCTATCACAAGTAATAGGATAAATTTGCTTTGCCTACACCCTTCGTGTCTCAGTGTTTGTGATTTTGGGAATCCTCAGGAACCTAGAACAATGCCAGATTATTTGTTGTCTTAAAATATGTACATGGAGATTGTTTTGATATGTGTTTAAATCTTCCTTGAAAATACAACTGATAGAAAACAATGTAACAAAGAAAAAAAAAGAGAAAAAGAAGACGGAAGGAAGGAAGACAGACGGAAGGAAGGAAGACAGACGGAAGGAAGGAAGACAGACGGAAGGAAGGAAGACAGACGGAAGGAAGGAAGACAGACGGAAGGAAGGAAGACAGACGGAAGGAAGACAGACGGAAGGAAGACAGACGGAAGGCAGACAGACGGAAGGCAGACAGACGGAAGGCAGACAGACGGAAGGCAGACAGACGGAAGGCAGACAGACGGAAGACAGACAGACGGAAGACAGACAGACGGAAGACAGACGGAAGACAGACGGAAGACAGACGGAAGACAGACGGAAGACAGACGGAAGACAGACGGAAGACAGACGGAAGACAGACGGAAGACAGACGGAAGACAGAAGGAAGACAGAAGGAAGACAGAAGGAAAAAAGAGAAAGTCAAGAAAGAAAAAAGAAAGGAAAGAAAGAAAAAAAACCCAACCAAAACAAACAAACAAAAAAACCCTTAACTATAATCTTATCACCTGTGCCTATCCCAGGTGCAAGAAATGTGTACTCTGTATTAAAAACCATACTTTTAAAACAAAAAAGGGGGAATGTGACACCCCAAGTAGACAAAGCTGTATTTACCCTTAATTTTTTTAATTTGGATCAATAGGTATTGTACAAAAACTCACAAAGATGCCCTGTGGCAAGGTCCTATTGAGTTGCTGGCATGGGGAAGGAGCACGCCTGTGCTTTGTCTCCCTCAGGACCCCACTGACTTCCAGCATGTTTGATGAAACCTTGAGCAGAACAGACCCAAACCTGCAATCCAATTCCACAGACACAGAGGCTGTCCCTCAGAGAATCCCAGAAGGAGACCAGTGAACGCTGAGCGGCACAAGGCCTGCCTGGATGTCACATGGAAGAAAATATTCTAGGGATAATTCATTGTGTCTACTAACTCTTACTAACTGGCATAATGACTCAGTCATGAGTCTCACTCACATGCCTTCTTGGCCACACCTGATGTTGTGATTAGTGTGACTAACAATACCTTTAACGTTCCCGTAGGTAATCCCTATTATTTTAATTTTATTACAAATCAGAATGTATCTACTCTCAATTTATCAGTAATAATTTCCATGTGCAGAAGAGCCAAACTGTGGTTCCCAGTGAACCTAACCAGAAGCTGGGAGAATGATGCAGGATATAGTAAGTTAATGAAACTGTTAACACAATCAAGAAATCATCATTGGATGGCTAATTGCTTTTGTCATCTCTGCAGTAATCATGGCAGCTAGTGCTGCATTGGCTCATTCAGTGCAGGCCACGCATACAGGGGCCAGTGTATTGGGTAATATGTCAGCATCAATAGCAGGTTTTTTAATAATTTGTCTGTTTTTAATATTTAAAGTCCTCTGGAAGTGCATCGGACAAACCCGAAGACAAAAAGCCCAGGTCCTGGCCCTGTGGGTCCAAAGAAAACAGGGGGAGATGTGGGAACAAGCTGAGTCACTCTACACCTGCATTTAGTTAATTGGCACCAAAAGAGAGGACCAACCTTGGCTAAGTGTTTCGACAGAGAGAATGTTGTGCTTCTGAGTGGAAAACCACTCCACATGATAGCCTGTTTTTCTCTCATGGCTGAACACAGCCACTGTATGCTGCGAGTGTGTGCGATCAAAACACTGGTTTAGGACAATCCTGGGAATTCTGGTTAACTAAAAGACAACACCAGGTGCTGTTTACAGGAGAACATGAATAAAAGGGGAAAGCTGAAAATGGTCAGCAGAGAAATCCCAAAACCGAATTCTGTGTGGAGTGCAGCCTCATCTTTTCAGTGCCCATAGCTTACCTTGTCCAAGGACTGCAGCATGCTCTCTGCACATTTGATAGCTGATTTCATGCCCTCCTCTTCAGCCTGTAGCTGAATTAGCTGATGCTGAGCACAAATATATGCTGTCTGGAGCCTGGCTACCTCTTGAGTCTCTTCAGAAGTTTCATCAGTCCCCTCACAAGTGACTGGCTCGCTTAAATCTTCAAGATGAAAGCTGCCTTCATGTGAATTTTCAACACATTCAGACATACCTTGATTTAAATGGTTTTTTATGTGCGAGATAAGTGCTGCAGTGCTTTGTTCTTCCAGAGAAAAATACTTGTCCAAAGAAAGTTGGGAAAAAAACACTGGATGTTCTGAATCTGAAGCAGTGAAGAAAGAGGTAAATTTCTTTGCTGCATCCGCAAGAGACTGCAGTTCACTGTCGAGCTTCTTATTTGTTACAACAAACACTTCCAGAGCTTCTTTCAAATCTTTTTGTGCTTCTTCCTCTTTGCTTTGCAGCGTCTGTAACGAATGGCTGTTTGCAGTGACCATCAGCTGAAGCTTATTATGCCGATGAATTTGAAGTTTTTTTAAGTTTTGAAGAGTTTGAAGCTCATCCTCTAATATCTTCAGTTCCTCCTCTTCCTTCTCCTTCTCTTGGCTACTGTTCTTCAAATCCATTGGCTTCAAAGTTTTAAGGGCTTCATCCAGTGCGTGTCCTTCCAAGATGGGCTTACCACACTCGACAAGAGTATCAAAATCTTGCAGTTCTTTTTCAGATACATGCTGCTCATTTATGTTTCCACAAAACCACTCCAGAAACGATCTCTCTTCCGAAGACTCGAACATCCAGTCAAAATCTTCTCCATCAAGCTCATCAGCTTGTGGATATCCAATTTTCTTAAGAGTTTCCACAAAATCCTTTCCACAGCTCATGATTACAATATTTTTTGTAAGCAGAAAAGATCCAAATGCATGAAAAAAATCCGGGGAATTATTCCAGCTGTAATTTTTTTGCCATTTAAAATGAATATTCAGTATTTTAATAAAAAAAGAGTCTGCATAGGAAAAAGAAAGTGTCAGATCATACCAAAAAAATTGAATGATGTTTTGGATTAGAGTGGCTATTCAAAGATTAGAAACCAATTTTTATTTCAAGGATATATTTTGTTAATCAAATCAGGACACATTTTTACATCAGTTATATCTCTGATCTTTGCAAGTATTTACATTTTTCCTTAATTCACATAAATTATTAAAATAGAATAGCATCATCAAAAGCAACAGGTGTAAATACTGTGCAATTCACTGGCCTGCAAAAGTGATTTACTTATAGTTTTCTTCACATTCATTTAAAAAAACACCCACAATCATTTTAATGCTTCCAAAATTAGTGGGGTTTTCAGTTTGTTCTAAAAACAAAACCACAGTGCTATTACACTGCATTTCGAGATCTAGGTTATAAAGGGTTATTTTTTACCTCAGTAGCCAGCAGAATCTTGTCTTCTAAACCTTCATTTAAAAGATTCCTCTGAAAATGGAACAAGAAATACTTTAACATATAAATATCTCAACATAATACTGCAGGCTTTTTGACCAATTATAACAAATTAAAATTAAGATCAGTGTAAATACTCTTGTGAAAATAGTCACAACTTAAAAGTTACAGGGAAAAGAAGTTTGCTGCTTTGCTGTTTCCCAGTAAACAAATCATCAGCTCTGGGATCCTAAAGTGTGTGCAACAGACAGCAATGGATAAATTATCAAAAAAGTCAAGAGGCCTTGTCTGCAATAGTCTGGTAATATTAAGACTTCTTTTTAGTTTGATATTATTTAATACTTTATTAATAAAACACCACAAAACTCCACTTTGCCAGCCAGCCTGAAGGGCTGAACCAAGTAAAGGCGTCCCTCTAAAATTCCATGCATCTGACTTACCTCAGAGTTACAGGTTACATATGAAACAAAATGTTATTCGAGTTTCATGTCACAGGGTGGCCTTCCAATTCTCCTCTGCCCTCAGTGCTAAACAGGGCATAAATAAATATGGGTGCCAAGAGGATGGCGCCAGATTCTTTTCAGTGGCGTCCAGAGGCAGGGCAAGGGTTAATAGCCATAAACTAAAATACAGCAAGCATAACCTCAGCATGAGGTAGAACTTTACGCTGAGGGTGTCAGAGCATTGGAACAGGATGCCAAGGGAGGGTGTGGAGTCTCCCTCTCTGGAGACATTTCAAACCCACTGGGACGCGTTCCGGTGTCACCTGCTCCAGGTGACTCTTTCTTGGAAGGGGAGTCGGACTAGAGACCTGAAGCCCCTTCCAACCTTAACTGCTCTGTGGTTCTGTGCGACAAAGGGCCCACACAGCTTTATGCACGGGCACGCCGGGCCACCACGGCCCTGGTGCTGCCATTCAACACCGCAAACAATAACCCCGGAGCCCCGAGGAAGCACCCGCCAGCCCCGTCCCAACACGGGGCCGCCCAAAGGCCGCACGACCGGGGCCCTCAGGGGCCACGCCCCGCCTCCGGGGCCGGCGGTGCCTCCAGCCCCGCGGGGATCCCGGCCAGGAGCCCGCCCGGAGAGGGACGAGGCGCGACGAGGGGACGGAGGAAGGCGGCGGTGGCGGCTGATCCGGCCCCGCTGGGAGCGAGCCCCGACCCCACAGCACCCGCTCCGTACTCACCGCAGCGTCTGCTCGGCCCCAGCGGCGGCTCCGGGGAGGGGAGCGGGGTGGGAAATGGCGGGAAAACTGAGGGGAGGCGCAGGGAAGGCAGCGGGAAGGCTGAGGGGAGGCCTGAAGGAAAGCGGCGGGAAGGCTGAGGGGAGGCCTGAAGGAGCGGTGAGGGAGAGCTGAGGGAGAGCTGAGGGAAGGCTGTGGGAAGGCTCAGGGAGAGCTGAGGGCAGGCTCAGGGCGCGCCCGCAGCTCGAACCGCCCGCCACGCGCCGCCTCCCTCCCCGCGGGGGCGCACGCGCACGCGCTCTCGCGCCAGGCCCGCTGGTGACGTCAGGGGCTGTCCCTCCCCTCAGGGCGGCTGCGGGACACCGGTTGTGTCCCCTGAGTCGCGGCCCTTCAGCTGCCCTCGGCTGTGTCCCCTCAGCTGCCCTCGGCTGTGTCTCCTCAGCCCCAGCCCCTCAGCTCCCCCCGGCTCTTGCCCCCTATTTTCCCCCTCGCAGCACGCGGGAACTGGAGGACGGGGCGGACCTGAGTGCAGCTGATGTCGCTCAGCGCTTTGACCGCTGGGCCCAGCAGCTTCCCCGTGCCTGTACCCAAACACGGCGCTTCTGCCACCCGTGCCCACTGCTGCTGTGACGGTGATTTTCACCCGTGATGAAAATCCATGGCCTTTATGTGCATGGATTTGTCTGATGTCGTCTTCAACATACTGATATCCCCCCAAAACTTCACAAGGCAACATCCTGGAACCTGCTGCTTGGAAAGGCACTTCCTATATTGTTTTTTAGCCCTTTCCAAAACCTGTCAGATGATTCCTGGCACTAGCATTGATTTCGTCAATGCCACCTCTGCATCTACCTTACCAATGGTATTCATGGCAACTTAGAAACCCTCAGTACATTGCTCTTCAGCTTTGTCCTCTCCAGTTTGGACAATTCCAAAATTTGGCCTCTATAAAGGCAGTGCTCCATTCCTCCCATTTTTCCAGATGTCCCCTGAACCTTTTACAGCATCACTGTGCCTTGCTGGAGGTGCAGAGATGAGACTGCACAGAGTCCTCAAGGTGTGGGTATATCAAGGTTTTCTACAAAATCTTCATTTCCAGTGCCCTTCCTTACAATGCACCCTGTTTTCTTGGCTTTTTGGCTGCTGTGGCCCACGGAGTCACCAGAAAGCTCTCGGCATAGATTGTGGGACCTCTTCTGCATTGCAAGGGCTAGTTCTCAGTCAAGCACCATGTAAACTTGTCATTAACAGTTTGAGCATCCCTTATCAGCCTCTCCTTGAGTTTAGACATCTTTGCTTCTTGTTTACATTTTGTGTGCCACGTTTTTCTGGGCTGCCCTATTTGCCCTGCAATAGACTCCTTAAATTTCTCAGAGTCATGCAAGGGGAGGTTTGTGCCACGTTTCTCTGTTTGTGTTAGATATTATACCTGGGCTTCTAGAACTGTATTTTTTAAGCCTTCTGGGTGTTTGTAGGCTTCTTCATTTCAAACTGTGCATTTAGGAGTTTTTGGCATTTTCCCCACTTTTGCATAGGTCATTTTGGTCATTTTCTTAAAACTGAGTATCTGTTTGCTTTATTTGTCTTGATCTCTTCTTAGTGTTAAATTTAATTATGTTGTGGTTGCTACTATTTAGCAGCTAATAGGTCTTGAATGAGATCCTCTGCATTGCTGAAGACTAAATTCAGAATGACTTTTCCTTGTGGTTCGTAGGGTCAGTTGTTCTAGAAATCTATTGCATCCAGAAATGTTCTCTCTACATTTCACCCCGATAAGCATTGACCCAGTCCATATGAGGGTAGCTGAGCCCTCCCACTGCTTGTCCTAAATGTTCAGCTTCTCTAATCTCAATGCAATTGTCGCAATGAATCAACACAGGGCAAGGAGCAACCTTGCAGCTCAGCATAGCTAAGACTAACTCGCATGAGGTTTTCTGGATCAAAATCAGCACCTGTATCACTCACAAAGTACAGAATGCTGATTTCTGGTATAATGTGGTCCATGCAAGACACTTTTAGATTAAACCCTGACCTGGCAGTGAGTTCTCCTGGGTAAAAGGAGCTGTAATGCTGAATTTCTTCCCATCAGAGTACAGCCTGATATGCAGCTGCAAGTTAGGCTGGCTGAAGTTTTCAAATCATCTTGCAGCTGGGAGTGCATTGTGTCTTTCCGACGGTAAAGGAACAAAAGCATTCACCAGCTTATTTCATAAGACTGTGCTGTTTCAGTTCAGTCAGTTACTTGCAGTAAAATCAACTTCTCCTACAGCAGTGTTTTGCAGGGTTGTGCTTCACAGTATTGTGGTTTGGGGTTTTTTGTTTCATAAATATCAGTGTTTCAGTGTTACTCATTTAAAAAATGCCTGAGTAAAGGCAAATTTTAAATACCTAGAAAACTTCCTAAAATTCTGCTGTCCTGAGAGCAATTCAGCTCTTCCACTGAAGTCCACATCTTAGATGAAAGAAGATACATCTGATAAAAGATTGTCTGTCTTTTTTCTATCAAATTGTCTCTCTGGGTTGCTGCAACTAATGCCTTCAGTTCCCTGCGTGACTGGTTCCTCTCCCTCTTTCCAGACTCACATGGCTACAATGTCCAACTTCCCAAAACCTATGTCCCTGTCTGTGTAGCTGGGCAAGCAGCACTATGTGCTCATTCTGTAGCCGGTTTGGAGCTACATCCGTGCTGGCCAGTGGCCACCTCTTGAAAACAGTGAAGAGCTCAACTGGGCCACAATCAATGCAGGAAATAATTTGTTTTTCTTTCTACCCACACAGGGAATTTCTGTGAAATTTTCATCATGGATTATTATTGCAGCTTCCATCCTATCTCTGATTTGTCAAATTTGGTGAAAATTAGCCAGAAGGTTCAGAAGTTATCAAGGAAAGGAGGAGGGGAACAGATGGACGAAAGAGGAGTTGACAGACAGCATGATCTCATAATCCCCGCTGGCATAGGAATTCAGGCTAGAATTGAAATATTTTAGGTCAGAACATTGTGCACATAAAATTCTCATTTTGAAAGAACAAGCCTCTAAAGGGAAACAAATTTTCATTTGTTAGACCATCCATCGGCTTTGAGGGCAGAGATTAAACAACACACTTCCCCTACAAAGATGTCTTCAAAATTTCTTACAGCCCCTCTCCCCACATGACCTCACCCCATGTGCTTCACTGTTTCCTTTTGCAGATCCTTATGGGCCAAGATTGTTTTTCTCTGATTCATTTTTTTTCTTGGTTGTGTTCAGTCAAAACATAATTAAAGGCTTACCTTACCCTTTTTTTCCATAATATGAGCAGTCGTTTTGCATCTGTGTCTGAAAGCTGGATGGGCTGCTGAGATAGGATACTGCCTTTACAAGCCATTTAATGGTGAATTCCAGCAGATTAAGACATAAACATTTCTGGAAGGATGTCTGCAAGCTCTGCACTGTTCCATCCATATCATGTTGTGTTTATTCCACTGCAAAATATGACATCACTGTGCCTGATACCTCAGAGAGAAGTTCTTGGTTACCCATCATCCAAGGCTGTAATAAACAGCCACCAAGCAGGTGTCACAGCTGGGCAGTCTAAACCCTCCCACTGGGATACATCTGTCAGATGAAAAACTCTCATAAAAGTGGTTTGCTTGTTACTGCTTTAGGATTTGTTTTTTGTTTGGGTTTTTGTTTGTATGTTTGTTTGTTTCATGGAGGTTTTATTTGTTTTTTTGTTCGGTGGAAAAAAAACCCTCAGAGGAGACATGAAAATATGTTTTTAGCTGGTGAACTGTAACTATATAGAAGCTTTTTCATTTTGCATCATACTGCACTCCTGCTGGCAGCAGCAGGATGGTAGAGGTCCCTGCTGGAGATTGCTGGAGTAACAATCAGTCTTTGGAAACACCCTGTTTTAAAAGGTAATTCATTCCTTTAAGCAAATATATATTCTGAATTAAGCATGGCTTTTGAAGTGCCATGTGAACTTTCATTATAACAAAGTCATAAGACAGGAATTTGGCACCAGCTTGCTTTCTCTCCCAAGTGCATGTATCTTCTCTCCAGAGGAACGGTGGATTTCATTCTGAGACCTTGTATTCCCAGAAAAGCAGGTCAAAGTGATTAGTTTTCTTCAGCTTTGTTGGATTCACTGCCATAAATATACAAAAAGCTCCTCCACCTTTGGGCTAACACTCCTATGTATTTAAACATGTAATGCACAAGGGGATTTGTTTTGTTCTAGAAAATGGTTTGTTTACTCACCTGACCCTATTTTGAATGAGTACCCCAAGCAGGGCTGCTGAGCCAGGCTGTCTGCAAATGGGGTTTGTTCTTAAGAAACTGAACCCGTGTGTGGGAACATGCACTGGGACTCAGCAGGAACCTCGGCAGGGAGTGTGCAGGACCAGATCACTTCCTCCCACTGCCTTGCTCTGCTCCCTCTCTCCCATCAGCCTCCCCACAGCTCATCCCCAGTGGGGCAGCAGTGGCACAGGAGAGCAAGATTTTGGGGGCTTTCACAGAGCTGTGGGGAGTGTAAAACCATAGTGGGCATAAAGAAATCACAGCAATCTCTGTTCGTCCAGGCCCAGCTCTTCTAAGGCAGCAGTGACTCCAGCACTCTGCTCTTCCTCTGGCCCCCACACCATAATCACACCTTTCTTACCGTGCCACGGTCCTTAAAAACACTGGGTAATTCACAGTTTACAGAAGAATAATAACTGATAGCTTTTCCATTAAATCCACTTTAAAGTACCTCTTTTAGAGGAACCTGATGGTTATATCATTATGATTTTAATTATAATTTAAGGCTCCTTCTTATTTAAATACATTTTGACAAAACATCTTCATCCTGATAGGCAAGGCAAGCTCCTGGACATGAGGAAACTTGCTTTGCTTATAAACAGATGACAGGACATGACAGATGTCATAAAAGAACCTGTGCAGGTCATAAACTGTACAGGATTTACAAAAATAGTGTCACCACATTTGTCGTAATTCTGTTACCCCATGCAAGTCTTGTGCTGAGAAAAGTGCTGTCTCAAAACACAGCACTGCTAAAAGTTTGATAGCTTTTTTCCTGTTGGAGATTAATTTACAGTAAATTAGTAAGGACTGGATTGTATTTTATGCTTATTCTGTGATAGTGTTAATTTCAAAGAAAGCTGTGATAAATTAGTTTACTATGCTTTGTGCAGGAGTACTTTTACTGATTCAGCAGCTTAACTTACTCAAATCAAACATAAACATATCAACAAGCTACTTGCCATGATTTCAACTTAAAACTACTATTTCTGTATTTTTAAGACACTGCTGCATTTAAGTCCAACATGTGTGACAAACACACACAAACCAGTGGATGTCACACACTGCAGCTGAGAGTAATCAATGTAATTCACAAAAGCATTTCAGCTCTGTCCCTCGTCTCGTCTCTCCTAGTAACAAATTAAAATACTCATTTTTGTCTGGCTGCATGTCACTTATGATGTGACTTTCATATTCAACAAAATACACATGCAGAACTTGCAGACTGCCTCAATGCTTTTTTTTCTGCCTTGTACAGAGCTGGAATGATTTCAAGTATAATTACTAAGAACAGACACTAATGCATTTCAGCTGGCGCTTTGTTTTACAGGTTGGTTTGTCTTCAGAAAGGTAATAGTGGAAATTTATACAGCACCCATGGTTAGAGACAAATAATATTAATAACTATTGGGGTTTCATCAGGTCAGTGTGTGTAAAAGAACTTTTAACAGCACTTCAGCCTCCATTCCATGCCGTTCATTTGAATTGCTAAAACCAATTCATTAAACCAATATGTAAAGATTTGCAGCATCTAAAGACTTTCAGAGAGAAGAAACACTATGCACAAAAAAAACAAACGATGACATTTTTAAAAAAAAAAACTGGATACCACAACAAAAAGGTATAAAAATTTGTATTTATATTATGACGAGATAATGATACAACACAGTACTCCGTGTGCTACAGAACGTAGCAAGCGCCATGTACGTGCGTACAAATGAATCTGTATAATACAGTAAAATGCATCTCACAAACTATGAACCACTCCTTTGGCTCTGGGACCCAGAGGCTCTGGCACAGAACCCACTCGTAACACCTTTAGGTAACAATTTCACCAGTAAGCAGCAGAAGGCTCTCAGTCAGTGCTTCACCTGCACCAAAGTTTCATCACTTAAACATCCGTATTGCACAGACCCTTCCAATGCCATAAATCCCGTGTAACCACAGTTTATGCCTCTCGTGCAAAATGGAAGAAAGAAATTCTGAAATTGGGGTGCCTTCCCTCTGCTTTGCCAGTGGGCCAGCCTCTGGCTGGCCATGCCTTCCTAGGAATCCTTTCCTGGGATTATTTACAATACTTCAGGCAGAGAGAACAGCCAAGATGACCAAATGGTTTCTGGACTTTTCTGTTTCATATATCCCCTGGATTTTAATTCTGGGTGGTTACGGAACACACTTGAATGTTTTCTTTGCAGCTACCAATTAAGAACAGTGCTTTTAGGCAGTCACTTAAGCAAATTGGCTCATTTCATTGCTGGTGAAATTAATTTCTGGTGTGTTTGCCCCATTAGTATTTGTAGGGAGTACAGCTCTTCCTTAAAGGGTATCTAAAGAGATTCAATTATCCTTCCACCAATTTTGGAAAGTGCAAGTTAGTGCACTGTTACTGGCTCATACCACACAAGACAGTGGCCTCTACCAGTTAAAAAAAAAAACAACACAACAGGTTTCTGAAAAAGTAATTTGTTTTGCAAACATTCCTTTATCAGTGCCATCATAAAATGAAGTGTATAAAATTAATATTACTTAACTAAAAACTGTGATGATGTGGCTGTTTTCAAAAATATTTCTTCTCCACAGGGCTGCTCTGCGAGGATCAAAAATTTCACCGCTAATTACCAGTCTGCCAAAAAGTTGGTAAAATGGTGAAATAATCACCTGTTCCGGGAGCAGAGACTGCTGTAAGTACCTCCAGGAAAAGCAGAAGTAGGTCTGCAGGCAGAGCCCACAGTCACCACCTCTTTCCGTTTCTCAGTTCTCCTCTTTTGGCATTTAAGTTCATGTGCTGAAATGGGTACACTTGGATGCTCAGAATTGGTTTTTTTTACTTTTAATACTAAATTTTGGTGGGCTGTGTGTGGTATAGCTGAATCCATACTCATCCATGTCAAAAAAAGTAACACACAGTCTTAATTCTATAAGTTGGATGCAAGTTGTGTTAGATTTTAAGTCTTTTTTTTTTCATCCCAAAGCTTACACTAATAAATTAGGATAGAAACTAATCTACAAACACCAGATGAAAAACTATCCTTCTCATGGATTTTTGGGGGGCTTATTATTTCTGATTTAATCCAGTAAAACTGTTTGAACTGAGTTTGTCCTTTGCACAAGACAATATAGGATCCAGTCTCTGGTTAACAATGTGTTGAAGAGTTTCTACTGCCAAACCTGCTCTTTTCAGAAGATAAATAAATCAGCTGCAATGGGCCTGGCAGGGTACAAGTTGGGCAGAGAGATTGGATGTGAAGGAGGATTCACCCCCTGAATTACAGTGGAGAATTGTGCAGAAAAAACTAACAATTTTAGGCTGTTTTTTATGCCTCTCTGCAGTGATGACAGAGTGCACTGCTGGAGCTGGAGGAAGCGCTAATCCAGGAGCAGTGAGGAGGTGTGTATCCTCCTGACACCTGCCTGCTGCAAGGGAAAGCCCTTCCTTTCTTCTCCCCTCAGGAAACAGGCCAAACCTCCATGTCTCCATAAAAAGAACTTCTCGATGACTTCATCTCTCCAGAGCCCTTTCCACAGAGGAAAAGACCTAGCAGCCCTGTAATCTTGCCTCTACTCCTTCTTTTCCGATGTGCTAATTGCAGGGGAATTAAGACGAGCTGAGCAGTTGGTACCTCCTCGCCTGCTAAAAGCACCATCAGGACACAACATGGCAGAGCTGCTGAGGTGGTGGCAGGATTTAATCTTGCAGCCAACAGCTTGCTTTTTGCAGTCATGTCATGGTTACAGGTACAGTTGTGTGCACACACAGATGCACGCACAAATGTCCAGCTTAAAAAAATGAATAACAATAACACACTTTGCATCCCACGGGGTTACGGCCACAGGTAGCGCTGCACTGGCTGCTCAGCAGCAGGAGAATTGTGTCCCTGAAGGAATGTCAGAGTCTCAACTAAACCTGTGGGACTGCAGCTCTGCTGGGGGGGGGTCAGACCAGCCACCAAGCCCGACACTTGGAACTGTTGTGCCATTGCCTCTAACTGGGCTGCTGCTGTCTGGGGAAGCCGTGCCTGAAAATTCCACCTTAAACTGGGCTGTGCTTGAGGGAGAATGACACAGGCAGTATGGTGTCATTTTTCTTTACCAGCATAATAGCTCCCAGCTGTAATAACTGAAAAAGTAAAAACAAATAAACCCTTTTTATTTCCACTCAAGATTATTCGAGTAATTTTTATTGAAAATATAAGATCTACAAAGCCATGGATACCCAGCGTGGAAGAACTCATTAAGTTAGCACATTCATCTTTAAAAGGAAAATTTCAGGTTGACCTAAGGTACAATAATGTTCAATTTAAAGTCTCGTTTTTCCTTCTGTAAGTTTCAAATCTTTTTTCATTCGGAGGTTCTGTGCAAGAGCTGCTTGTCATGAAAGGAAACACTTTACAATCCATGAATGTGTTCATTATATAAATGAACAGCAACAATATACTAGCCTTTTTTTTTCCTGTTAACAGTCGTGTGTTAAAGTAAACTCTTTTTTTTTTTTCCATGATTTGGAAATTAGTTACATATGCACCAAAGGAGCTAGTAATTTCTGCTGCTTGTCAGCTACACACAATGAGTATATTGCTGTGTGCTTTCCCCAACAATGAGGATTTTAGTAATATGCAAGGTGTATAGAACGTAATACCAAAACCTGCATCACAGAAAATTGTTAATTGTTTTTTAATTCAGCTGCCAGAGTTGATAACCTTAGGCCCCTCCCCAGAGCCAAAGTAGGGGTGGCCATCCATTAGGTTATGTAAATTAAATGTATGTTTTCCTTGTTGGCAAGTTCCAAGCAGTAAGCGAGAGTGCAAACAAGGATCTGTAAGCTGCCACAAAATGATTTCATATTTCTACCCCGTGTTGTAAGAGCCAAAGGGAGGACACGTATGTCAGATGTTGAAAGAACAACTGAACCTTTGTTTTTGATCATTATGGTCAGTCTGTCATGAGGTCTTGTATCCAAATGCTAAAAATGGCACCACACTTGGACATCCCATAGCCTTACACAGTACGTTTGTGTTTCCTCAGCCACTGAGCGCTGGTCTCACAGAGACCCTGACTTTATAAGCTAACAAAATATAGATTTGGGTGCTGAAGAATCCAAGGGAGGGCTCATACAAAGACAATTAACCCTCGCACCAAAACCTAATGTTATGATTTTACTTAAAGCCACACTGAATCAGTTGTGAGAGGGTGAAGATATAAATACACACCTCTGCTTCGTCCGCAAGAAGGTGGACTACTGACCATTTGAACAGAGGGTCTTGAAACAAAGCTTAGTTGTCCTTTAAACAATGAAAAGGAGAGGCATACATAAATGGTCACCAAGGCACAATATGACAAAGGTGAAGAGTCCCTGAGACTCTGGTCTGGGTCTGTACCATTCCCCTCCCTATACAAGTAAATGAGAACATTTAGGAAAATATAATACAAAATCTCTTACAGGAAATATAGACTACACTTGCTAAAATCACTTCCCTAAAAGTGTTTATAGCTTTTTTCTTTTTTTTTTTTATTTTTAATTTTTTTCCTTTTTTTTTTCCTTCCTTTATTTTTTTTTAAAAGACCTTCTTTAAACAGGTAATGCAAAGACTGGTCCATTTTTTTTCTTACCCGGCAAGCCAAGCTCTAATGACTTCACTAAGCAGAAGTTGTATTAAAATACATCTTCATAGTATTGCTACAAGTTGGGTAAATATGTTCTGAACAGCTTGATGAGTACTAAATAAACTTTGCTGTTTTACAGCATACATTTTAATTTTTTTGCACTTTTTTTTAAGAATAGAAAATGCAATTATAGTGTGCAAAAGAAAAAAAATAATTATCTTCTAGCTGAATACTGTAATCTTAAGCCATGCCTTCCATAAAAATGTATTGACATGTGTAAATAGAAGAAAAGAAAAAAAATACAAGCAAACAGATTTCATTTCCTTGCAAGGAAAGATTAACTATCACAAACTGGATCACTTGAGTTCTGTATTCTTCAGAGAAAGAAATGAAAACAACAACCCATAAAACCACTGAAATGCTTCAGATGTCATCCATTCCACGATAACAGGTTAAAACTGCCATGTTGCTTTCTACTGCTCCCATTAACATGGATAGAATGATTTGCTGCTGGTTGGATATTGAATACAAAAAGCAAAAGAAAGTTGAGATCATCCCACATGAAGTCATTATTAGAGCTGGCTTTTCCCCCATTTTGAAGTACAGTAGTGACTTGTAAATACAACCTTTTCTAAAGATATCTGAGATTTGAAGATTTATCTGCCTGCTTTACCCAAACAACAACTGCTGAAAGAATTTGCTCTATGAAGCCCACTATGCAGCATTCAAAATATTTTGGGGTTTTGTTTTTTTTTTCCTGAAAAAATACCACAAAAAGTAGGGTTTTTTGTATCTCTGAATCACTAACACATTGTAGATTCCATTTATTCTTCCATGTTCGAAAAATGGTTTCTGCAAAATCAAAATAACTGTCAAACTCCCTTACGCCATGCTTCCAACAGTTTGAATTTAATTCTTCTTGAATGGAATGACATAATTTATTTCCTTTAATTTGCAGTATGGCTACATCAAGCTAGCTTTAAGTCACAACTGTACCTAACCACAGTTCTCTGCAGCAAACCCATGATTTACAATATCTAATATTGTGGTTACAGTGCAGGGAACCGTGGGTAAGAAACCTCCATGTCAGAGTACTGTGGTTGGGGTTTCCCGGAAGAGTGGCAGTTGACACCTCTGGAATATTCATATATAAGTGCTTCAGTCAGATGGTCCTGAGTTGAACAGGTAACTCAGGCACTATGAGAGCCTGGCATTCAGTCTGCGGGAATGTGTGTAACCTCCGTCACTCGAACCGCTTTGCAAACTGTAGTGGTCTTCAGCATCACTGGCACTTCCAATACTGTCCATTTCACCTGGAGTAAACTCCATTCCTTCAATGTCTACTTCTAAAGAAAACATAAGAAGGCACATTTTCAGAAAGGCAGCAGCTGTAGCAAGTAATTATGGGCCAGTGTCAATCAGCGTTCAGGTGGAACCTGAATCATGCTTCATTTTCAGTAATCAAAACAGAAAGAACTGGCACAGTAACTCCTGAGGAAATGATCATCTTGTCCACCTGAGAATTAAAATCCCTTCTGTCCTCAACCACATAAATACACTGCATGACATCAGTACCAAATGCTGTCCCAGAACTGTTCCAACCTGCACATGACACTGATCTAGCAAGAACCCGACCCTCAAAGGCTGTAATAGCACAAGCCCCACTCCTGGTAATTCCAACCCATACAGGTGTTGGCTGGCGAGGACTGTGGCGTGACCATCTGTCCCCAGTAACTGCCCCAAGACCGACCACTCAGCTCCCACAGGCCCTGAAACAGCCTGGGCGAGTGCTCAGCACGGAAAAACTTCCAAATGGGAAAATAAGAAATGGCAACGGGCAGCTCCAAGAGCTCTGTCTTAAATGAGAACCAAATGCAGAGAACCCTTGGTGATTGTGACACAGAAGATGCTTTAAAAGTTCACAATAAATGATGTGGAATTAATTTATTCACACAAATTAATTAAGCCCAATAAGACTTCTTTTTCCAAGAGAAAATATTATGCCAGCCTTACCAGTAATTACACTAAAAATTCAAAACATTAAATGGTAATTGTTTAAAAAACTGGCAAAACCAGGATAAATAGCTTTAAAAATACACACAGTATTAATAGCTTCAAAACTGATTAGAAAAAAGAACATTTTCCAAAGAATGTAAAAAAGTTGCAGTAGTTTTTTATTCCTCGAATAGCATTATGGAACAATTTTGTCTGGGTTTTGCTGAAAGCTCAGTTTTAGTTCTAAATGACAGTTTCTCGTTCCCCTACTTCCCTTTTCCTTCCTGCTCCTGTGACTGCCCTTGGGAAGCCCTGGTTCAGTTACCTTGTTCAGAGTCAGTGGATATTGTTGATCCCATGCTGTCAGTGCGGATACGCTCCATGCCCTGCACGGATAGCTGCTCCAATCTGCGCTTGAGGTAGCGGTGTTCCCGCTGTAATTGTTCTTTAATGTTTAGAGCTTTTCGGTCCTGTTCTTCCAATTTCTTAAAGGGAGAGGAACACAGTAAGCTGACTGCTTTTACCCACGTTAAAGCAGAAGTAACTTAAGGTCTTCTCATAAACGGTAATTTAAAAGCAATATAAACACTTTAATGAAGTTAAAATGAAATTTAAGAATTTTGATTTCTTAGTTAGCATTCTGCAGAGGTCAGTACAGTTTTGGCGGGCTAGGTCACAGCTGAATTTGTCTCACAATAAGATATATGGATGCAGGAGAAAAAATAATAAAAGAAAAAAATCCCTCAGAGACTCTCCTGCCACTGGCAGACATTCCTTGGCTAAGGCCAAATTATTGTTGCCTTGGTTGTGGGGAGTATTTAAATCATTTTATCAGGCAAAACTGGCATCATCTTTGATAACTCGAGTGCAGCTCAGGTTTCAGTGAGAACATAACACCACTTTAGGTGAAATCAGAGACTTATCTATCACCATAAAGGAACCATCCTGAGCTTTTGAATGCTCTCCCTCCTACCACAGGCCATGTAAAATTTTAGTATTTAAAAAGCTTAATTAACAATAAGCAGCATTAATTATATATAGTGGGAGGAATTTACTAACAGTTCTCTTTATTCTTAGATTTTTTTCCTTGAACCTCTGCAGAGCAAATATGATAATTCTGTGATATCTCCTACAAAATCAATGGTATTAATCCAAAATTTCTCAGCAAACAGCCTGTGAAAGGATTTTTCCACATATCTACCTAAAATCTCCCCTCTGATAGAATAACAGCAGGTATTAATTTTGCAAATAAAAAGAATACATGCTTCACAGTTGGTCCAAATGCAGTTACAGAAGTAGCATCTTTTAATATTTCAACTGAACCCTCTTCCAAATCACTGATAGCTGGTTTTGACGGTATAATTAAGGAAAAAAGTGTAATGAGTAAGATGGGATTAAAAGCATGAAGAACACACAAATCAAAACACCTTTTATTACTAAAAAAATTATCTAACTGATGCAGTAAATTACAGGTTATAGCAGTAAAAGCACTTATAAGAAAGAGCAGACTTCTCTGTGAGCTGTGTTTACACGACTGCTGAGATTTAGGAGATGTGCAGGGAGTGAATACAGCTGCTGACAGTGTCTCCCTGCCATCTGAATGAACCTGGGCTTGCTTTTCTGAGGAGAGTGGGCTGGGACAGTGCACAGCAAACCACAAGCAAAACCCCTCAGAGATTTTGCTGTTCCAGTGCAAGCCTGAAATAAAAGCACTTCTCTCTGAAAAAATAACTGACACTCCTAAACTGGGCAGTTTCCTGGCTGAATGAGATCTACACTCTTCAGCTGGGTGTTAAGCCCCCTCCCAGGCAATACACTCCGTAGAAATGCATCAGAGGTGGATACACAATGTTAAAATAAGAAAAGGGGTTGGTACATCCATGTACACAACAAACCAAATGTGCCCAATTGATCAGATTTCCTCTTCCTGTATTTTCCTGGCTGCAATCCCAAACTCTTAACAGCTATTTTAGGAATGAACTCTGTGATTCATATCCAGGAGACTCAAAACCGTCCAATCTCTCAGAGTAAGTTTCAATACATGGGAGTGTGTGTGAAAAGTTCAAAACTAATGACTGTGTTAGAAATGGGAGCCGGGCACAGCCATGCTCTGGCAGTGCAGCGGGGAGGGAGCTGACCTGACAACGAGGAGCAATTAAGTGCCAACCCAGTTAGGGCAGGTTCAGTTAAAATGTTAAAAAGAAAGTTAAACTTCAGTCTCAGTTTTCAGAAAATGAGTACTTGGTACTGTGCGCAGTGGATTTGGAAAGAAGCTGTTCCTAGCCTTTTTTATCAGCAGCTGAAATGGTAACTACAGGGCTAATCTCTCACACTCGCCACTTGTAAAAACAGTTTTTCAATTTGTATGCATAAGCCCATGATAGGGGGGCAGCCCAAGACAAAAACCACATGCAGTGCCTTTCACGCATGTTAGCCTGAATTATAAACAAGAGGCCAAAATCTCAAATGGTAAAAACAGGGGTTGCCCAGCTGGAGTAAATGTGCTTAGAAGAGCTGAAGAAGTAGCTCTGCAAATCTGTTCACACAAATAGTTTTGCTTAAATTAATCTTTAATTCTTCATATGAATTACATTTCTGTAACTGCAGTGCATCTTAATGATGTACATCAGCAGGCTGTTCTCCAAAATATGCTAAGATTACTGGCAGTGTTCAACCTTTCCTGACACTTTTCTTGACCTGTTTCCCTGTAACACTGAAAAAAATGCCAGATGAGTAATTATAGTCCTGGACACAGCAGCAGAAACCTGTTCTTTAACTTTTATGTTTGAATACCTCTTTGTCTTATTTCTGCACATAACCAGGTTCCCTGAAAATGACGACAGTGAAAATAGGAGTGAAGGTGTTTTTGGAGAGAGGAGGCCTAAGGAGTGATTCACTTTGTATTACCTTTGCCAGTGTAGAGCCTGCACTGCTGCTGGATCACAGGTGAGATTTTGGGCTGGTTTTTTGTTTTAAACTTGTAACAAGGGGAGCCAGCAACTAGCAGGAGATTGTATTTAATTTTGGGGTTCATTTAAATGTTTAAAAAATGCTTCAGAACCTGGTCAGCAAGATGTGGGATGTGGATAAGGCTCACTAGTAGCTATAACACTTTTGACTCTGTTATTTTTTTTATCATGAGTGGATCTGGCTTTTTACATTGAAAGCAACGCAATACAATGTTACCTTGCTCAGTCCTTAAAAACCAAACATATTAATCAACAGCTTTGATACATATATATTATTTTTTTAAACTACAGTGTAAATAATTACATTAGTTTGTAACTAAGCAGAAATGACTCTTTTATATATCTGAGACTACCGGGTAAATTGCAAAACCTTGATACTGTGACTGAAATCTTTGCAACTCATAAAGGCCAATATATCCAGAACATTGGACATATGGATACGGATTTTGTGTGAAAATTAGTTTCCTCTCTATGGATACACATTCTGGAAGATTCTCCTTCAAAAGAAACAAAAACATGCGTGAATGTTTTTACCTTGATATGCATCTTAGCTCTTTTCAACAGACTTAGAGTGGTGTGTCTGGTGCTGTCCGGCCCGAGAGGCACGAGCTGTTTTAGCTGTTCCAAATATAGCCGGAGTTTAGCCCGCCTGCAATCATTAAAAACGGAGAGCGTTGTAGTAGAGTTGCACCCGAACAGCATATCCTATATGCAAACACCATCTGTTTGCAGGATCTCTGTGCAGAACTCGAGTGGCTTCCTTTCCCCTCCCTTTGGCAAAGTTTCAGACTGAAAGGTCACTTGAAATGCAATAATGCTGCTGGCACACTCAGACTGGAGTCTCATACCTGTGTTTCAAAGCAGTCTGCTCAGCCTGGTCAGTCCCATCTCAACCAAGGGGGAGTATGAGCAGAGATCTGAGAATTCCAGGCAAGACTGCACACTCAACCCATGGCTGGGTAAGGAATTAAAACTGGGATTTTGCTTTAACACAGTGATTTCTGCAGGCAGAGACAGAGCTGTGGGCAGCTCCAGACCCTGGTTCCCCTCTCCCCATTCCTATCCCTGCCTGCTGCCATAGGACACACTCCCGCTCTGCAAGGCAGGGGCACCCATGCAGCTCTGCACAACTCAGAGCTGTTCCCAGACATAGTTTATCAATATTGTAACAGGAAGGTCCTGATGCCCCTTCTCTTCCCTTCTACTGACCCACAGTCCCCCCAAGAAGGAGACGTTCTTCCTCTCACTGTACAGCATTTATTATAAATACACAAGAGAAAACAGTTCCAGCCATATTCCTCAACAACTGGGTCCTGCTTCCTGTTACTGCTTTGTAAGTGTCACTACTGCTGCCCTCAACAATCTCTCCTGTACTAATGACATTAATCTATCAATAAAAAGAGGATGAACAAAGTAGTATTTCTAAAAATATCTCTTTTCCAAACCATCTCTCTTTGAGAAAGAAAAGCTGGCAATACAATAGTCCACGAAGCAGTTGCTTCAACTATCCAAAACAAGGTAGAGGCGAACCAAAGAACCACGTGTGAGTGTGTTTCTACAGCTAAATCCTAAAGAAGGTCTCTCCTGGTCTTAATTCACGATTCTTGAACGGGAATCCGTATGGTTCAATGAGACATAAATGCATGCCAAAGCACTTCCATGAGCAACATGGCTACTGTTTTCCTTTCTCCCAGCCTGTTACAGGCTGAACAAAGCGATGACCTGGAGCCGACATCCCCCACACAGCCATAGGAATAACTGAAGCAGATCTCAAGGGTGAGATGAATAATCATCTTTTTCAAATCTGCTCAATGCTGCATGAAGGAAACAAACATTGCAGGGAACTCAATGCTTCTGGTCGAGAATGAACTTTTGAACAGTCAGTTCAGAATCACAACCCAGCATCAGTGTTTGAAATGCAGCTGAAGAGGATTTAATATGCACCAAATGACAAATTACACATGTGTAATTGGAATGATTACTGCAATGTGAAAACAACCTGAAAATTAATGGGGGAAAAACCCAAAGCAACATAAAATCAAATTTAAATACAGAACAGCGATGACTACACACTCACACATCTAGTTCTAGCTGCCTAAAAATCAGCAATGTATTAGGCAAGAAAGAAAACAGCATTTCTATAAAACTGTCAATTCTTTCTTCAAGCCACTTAGGGAAAAAGGAATATTGCTGAAAATGTGATTCACAGGAGAAAACTAATGACAGACTTTTTGTTTAGGCCTGGGGTTTGTTTTTAAATACAAGGCTCTAAACTTACCCATCTAAATCCTTTCATTTAAACAACATCAACAAAGGCTGGGCTAAGTATTCATAAAAACAGCCCCATCAGATCCCCGAGGCTGCTACCTTAAACTGGGATATTGATCTTTAAAACAGCGAAATACCCGAATTATATCTGGTATTTATACAGAAAATCCTAATCAGGTAAATTTATATTTCTGTGCCTGTAATCTCTAACAGCTGCCTGGCCGGGTTTGCATTTTAAATACAAAAACTTGTTTCAGGGACTAAATTCGAATAATCTTTTTGTATTGTAAGTGGCCTCTAAACACACACGCAATCGTCTGCGTCACTCAGCAAAACTTGGATGCAACTGTATTTAGACAGCTGACAAGAAAGTGGGGACTGAGGATAAAGGAGGATATGGAAAGGAACAGAACAAGAATAGTATAGGTGGTAAATAAAGAGTTAAATGCATTGAAATGGAATGATCTATATACTTGAAGTAATTAAAAGTCTGATAAGGAATATACGGAATTGTTGATCTAAGATCTACTTCGTATTAATCCTGGAAAACGTTAATGAAACCAGACTACGTACTCAACTTATCTGCAGCTACTGCTATTTGAGGAAAGTCTGCTTTCCACAGGGAGAAAGTAAGGCTTTAGTGTCCATCCTTACCATCGACTGGGGAGTCAACAGAAATATTGCCAGGATTCAGGGGCACGGCTGTATGCCTTTTTAAATCACTAATTCTTTTAGGTTATCTGCCAACCCAGTAAAGCAGGACTTCACAGTAGTGCCATGAAAAACACTAAGTTAAGAAGACTATTTTAACTGACCAATGAGAAGAGTTAAAAGGAACTAAATATTAACAAAAATGCTTTAGGCATTCTCAGCACTAACAACTGATAGCAGTAAATGTTATTAATAAACACACTTGCTGAAAGATCTCCTCTAACTTCACCTTTTTTTCTTTTCTAAGGGACTTTTCCTTTCATCTAATTACTCAGCATCTATAAATCTGTTAAAGATTTTAAAGCATGAGCTTTATGCAGATCTTTACATAAATGCAGGCATGCTTATGTGACTAATTCATGTATTAGAATCGATGGCATAGATTCTGAACGTACGAAAAGAAAACCAGCCCACCACAATTCCTGTGGTGCTGGAGTAAATATCCCCATATCTTTCATTTTGCACATCTCAGAAAAAACTGTAATAAGAATGTAAGAAAACATTTCAGGCATGTTATGTTAACAGATCACACCAGCAGGAACAAGGGACTCAAATTTCACAGCAAGTAAGTTGTCTCATACAGACTCTGCCAGCACTAATTTCTCTCTTTTTCTGCAGGGACCTGACAGCTTTTGCTTTTCCTCGGCTGCCTGTGACCACCGGAGGAGGGAAAGGCACTCACAGAGGTAATCACAGCCGGAGCTGCTTTGTGTTTTGCAGCTCACACCTTAAATTCCACCTAAAAAAATAAGCAGAAAAAGCAGCCTGATCTCAAGAGCAACGGGGTAACAGTCTCTGTGCATGAAATGTGGTTGAAGGTGGGTAATTACACTGTGCTCCAGCTTCGGACCCCAACTGCTACACCTTCGCCCACACCGAGTGTGGTGTCAGGCCAGGACAGCAGTGCCTACAGAAGTGGGCACTGTTCTCACCTCATGTGGATGCACAAAAATATCCCCCTCGTCACTGGTACTGAATCCATCAGGGAAGGTAGGGATCTAAAAAAATGCCATCCAAAATCCGAATCCTCAAGCCTGCAGCTCTCCATTTTGGATATAGCCCCACATATGGAGAGGTGCATGGGTGCCCTATCTCTGATTTACCACACTGTCCTTTGTGCCAACTGACAAAGGGGTTTCAGATGTTCAAGACTTCAGCGTTTCTCCACAGGAAAGCTCACAACATGATCCTATCAGTCTGCATTACAGCTCCTCTAATGCTTAATAAGCCCACAGATTGTCCCACTGGAGGGACAAAGCACCAAAACAGTGTTGTTAAGAATTTCCCTGTAGAAGGAGGACATCCAATGGAACTGAATTTGAAGACCACTCACTGACTCTAGTTAGTCCTTGGAGACTCCACTTTGCTCCAGCGTTCAGCTGTGGAAAGGCACATTCACCACTTCTCAAAAAAAGGCTGTCCCTAACCAATTCCGAAATTGTGTTAAAGGAGTCTGTTAAATAATGGTCAAGAAGCTTTGCCACATGTATGAAATCCCAGATGCAAATCCATTTTAATGCACCAAGAAATGGAATACCAAGATACAGAGAAAAAAAAAAAGAAACAAAAAAGTCTATTGTTCACCCTAGATAATCTTCATTCCAAGGAAACTGCAACAACTCCAAGAAATTCCTACAACTACTTGACAGGCAGTTGCAATGGGAACAAAATACTTCTCTGTAGGGCCAAATAATACAAGAGGCAATGGCTGTTAATTGTGAGGTTCAGGATGGATATTGGGAAACAAATTTTTTTATTAGGACAGCAGTGCACAACCAGAATAGGTTGTCCCGAAAGGCTGTAGAAGGCAGTCCCTAGAGGTTTTTAAAGATTTACCCAGACAGAGCCATAAACATTCACAGATATACATTCATGTCTATGAACACGTAAATCAGATTGCCTGTAATGCTGCAGCATTTGACTCACAAGATTCCCACTCGTGTAACAGCAAAACACACACAACTGTGCAACTTGAACCTGCGCCACTCTGACTGATACAGTGCTGGCATGTTTGTGAAGTGACCTGATCCACTGTAGCCTTTCCACAGGGACTCTCCAAGGCTTTTTCAGGCCCAGCACTGCAGACAGAAATGGCCTGCAGCCAGTCAGACAGCAGACAGTTGTTCAAGCAGCAGTTGCACAGTTTTCTGACAGCAGCAAAGGTGCATTTCCTAAACCATTCAAGTATAAATCTGCAGACTTTATTTGGAGGCCACTGAGCTGCACAAAGCCAGCTGGAAAGGCAAAGTGCACACCCCAAGCAAGCTCCTCAGTCTTCAGCATGGTATGGCTTAGCCAGGCTGTGGGGACATTAAAATGGCCACAGACACTCATGATACAGGGTGACAGTGTCAAGTTGATGTGAAATGCGTGTCTGTCCATCCTGCCACCACAGCTGGGCACCCCATGCAGACAAGCTTCTGACAGCTGACATGTTTATGGTAGGTAGCATAGGGTGGGCACTTCCTTGAAGCTGCATCCAAAGACATAAACAACAGTTCCCACTGTTGGCATCATGCTCCTGACTGCCAGAGGTCACTTGCTGAAAGTGTCAGAAGGGCTATGCTCATCTGTTTCTGAACATTTGTGGGCAAGAGCATAAAACTCACTAGAGAAAAGTAAAATTCATGACAAGTGTTCACCTTGCACATCCTCCAGGTCTCACTCCAC